TATATATGTACAAGTAAGTCTTTATTTCATTTTTGATGTTTTGTCAGTAAATAACAATAAATGTTGCTCAGTTTATCTATATCAGACTTTTTATTTATACAAGACGTATTGGATTTTATGAAACACATTTCCAAGAAAACACGTTTAGAATGGTTTTTCCCCTTGCCAAAATACAGGAATCCTCGAAATTAAATTCATGTTTTAAACTTAATGCATGGAGCATTATCATTAGCTTCCTCATTAGCCTCATTAGCTTAGGAGTTAGGACTGGAATATAGGGTAGGCAACCATACGTTATTTTATATGTTCTATTTTATATGTGTGTTATTAATGTTGAGTGTCATAGCTTTATACAAATAATCTCAACGACTAGTAAGTTGCACTGACATTTTGTGATATATTGTAAGTATTTACACATTTTTCTAGTTACAGTGTCTTGAAAAAGGAATTAAACAATTCCGAAAGCTAGACCAAAAGTTTAAAGAGTGTTTCTGTAACATCCCGGCTAAACTTCTGACTGCAGCCCTAATAAACTTTGTTGTTTGTTTAAATCGACAGTCACTAATATCCAGTATTTATTATATATATATATATATATATATATATATATATATATATATATATATATATATATATATATATATATATATATATATCTAGCTCTACTTCGTTGTCTCCAATATTGATATTTCCGCTAGGTACTAGGTTGGTCATGAATTTTGTTTTGGAAATGTTTATTTTAAGACCCACACTGGCATACACTAACTGAAGTTCATGTAGCTTTGTACATATATCTCCTTGAGGTTGTCCGAGAGCAAAACTATGTCGTCTGCGAATTTCAAATTTGTTAAGGTCGATTCAGACACATCAGTCCCGTCATAGTCTCGACGCTGAACCGGTTCTGTTTGGTCCCAAAACTATCAACTATCTGACAGCTGGGAAACTGTTCGTCGCCTGATGAATGTGAATGCCGGCGCCATATTTCTATTAAAGAATATTTTGTATGACGGATTGTTCGGTTCGGCGCCAGAACTGTGACGAGACGTGACTGATGTGTCTGAATTGACCTTTAATCTACTACCGTCAATGTTCAGACCTTTCTCTTCCCAGTTAAGTTTTCTACATGCATATTCTAGTACTGCAGTAAACAGTTTAGGCGATAAGGTATCACTCTTTCGGTCTCCTCTGCCGATTGGGATATGATCCGTGTTTTCGTGTAGTTTCACCGACATAGTTGCGTTCTTGTATGTATTGTAAATTAACCTTGTATATCGTTAGTCAATCTTCGCCTGGAGATTTGATATTCTTAGCTTTTCTTTGGGCTAGTTTTTCGTCCATTGTGATTTTCGGTAGTAGTTCTGATCCTTGGTTGACAATGCTCTTTTTTCTTGTTAATATTTCTGGTACTTGATCTTCTCTGCTATTTGCTCTGTGTTGGCCTGAGTACAGCAATTTCTAGAAGTCTTCAACTATTTTAAGGGTTACCTCTCTGTTGGTTGTAAGATGACTATTTCTATCTTTAATCTTTATTATCTGTCTTGCCCCGTTCTTAGCCTTTTTCTCAATACTTTCATATTGCTATTGTTCTTAATGGTATTTTAGCTAATCTTCTCTTCTTTTTGAGTTCTAGGACAGAATTTATTTTGACTTTCCAGTAAAGCATTTGTTAGTTTATTACTTAAGTCGTTTATATTATTTTCTGTTTCAGGACTACTAAGTATGTAGGAAATACATTGCCGAAAACTATCTATATCTGATGGTTTCATCCATGGTTTTGATTTGTTCTTATTTTTTAGTCATATACAGTGCACATATAAAGTCGACTTCCAACTATTTTCGGAACTATAAAAGTTAAATTAATAAATTTTTGGGTAATCGAACTAAGATAATACGTGTCTTAGTTCGATGTACACTATCCCTAACAATTTGATAGTCTTCAGCGTTTATGGAAAACGTTCTAACGTTTTCATAAAATACATTACATATTATAAAATAAAACAATAATTTACAAGTTGCACTTTTATATTCAGGTCGATCATAGTTCAGGTGCTGACGCATCGGATTTAGGGTATTGGCTTATGGGGTCAACGACTATAACTCGTGTAAATTTATTTCTCCAGTTTCCCAAATTCTTATCAAGATCATTTGTTTGGTTCACTTCAAATAGTAACATATAAATCTTAAAACCCATTATAAATGATTATATTTTGAAAATATTTTGTACAATTTTACAGGTTAGCAAAGTAAACAAACAGTCAAAATTTCAATATGATTGAAACAACTTACAGGGGTAAAGGTAAATCAATTAATAATATGTTAATGCTCCTCGGTGGGCAATATATTCTTGGATGATGTAAGTGATCAATATCCTCCTGGGGTATCTTGTTCGAGGAAGATACTCTAAATGAAGAAGTCACCGACCAATCATGTTCCACTCGAGTTAAATTGGGGATAAATCTGAGTATCTCGGAGGACAGGCCAAAAGATTTCCTTCAGCCTGTTCAACTATGTTCATGGTCGCAATGTGTGGCCTTATGTTATTCTACTGAAAAATTTGATGTTGAAGCGTCTGAAGGTAGAGTATGAGATGAGGTTCCATAATTTCTTCTACATATTGCTAACCTTTCATGTTACCTCTGACACAGATTAGAGGTGACCTTGAACCATAAGCTATGGTACCCCACATCATAAACCTTGGAAAATGTGGACTTTGTCTTTTCAAATACCCGCCCCTTTATGTATACAGAAAGGTACCCAGCTGCCAAACTATGGTAACTCACTTCCAGATTTATAAAATGTGAATCCACTGTCACTACTATCTTCTCGTGGAGTAATGATCTTACATCCCACATTGTATCTTCTGACCGCCAGTTAGAAGCTATTACATTTTATATGGCTTGTTTTAATAACACTTTTATATCCTTTAATTTTGATGTTGTGTTCTTACACGATACTTTATTTTCTAATTGTGCTCACATGAGCTCGATCAGATTTAAATCACAGTAATACGGTGGAGTTCGTAATACGGCAATACCATGTTCCCGTGCCATTTCGTCCACTGCTGATGTAAGAACTCTTGATTTCGCGCTATGTTAAATAATTTAATATTTAGCATTCAATCCAGTGGCGGCTGATGATAACTTCGTTCAGGGGGGCGCTGATTCGAAAATAAAAATAAAACCCTGAAAACTTTTGTTATCAAAACTTTAACAAAATGTATTATATCTTCTCACTACAGCTGTTTCGGTAGAGTGCCTTTCTCAAGTGATCTATTTTTGGTATGCGTTTACACTTTATAGTCTTTAATGAAATAGGTTGAGGAGGAGAGAACTGTTTGTCTCAAGTTAGTCATTTTTGTGGATGCTGCAAACTAATAATTCCTCTTATGTTACGACGGGACATATCTTTGACAGATCAGATAGCATTATATTTGACGTATTTTTGGGGGCTTCTAAAACAGAGATGTTGCTTCGTGTCCACTTTAATTTGCTCTGTAACTTTTAGGCTGTTCTTCAGTTCTTTGATATCGGCTGTGTTTTTTATGCCCACGCAATACTAACAGTCTTATCTATTATATATTTATATGTTTTGCGACGTTGGCAAATTATTATCAAAAGTGGAGTTAAACTTTTATTTCTAAATTAAAAATATTTTTAATTAGCTTTAAATGTTCAATTTGATTTATTAGGACACTAACTGATACATTATTCTATGGATGGTAAAGAAGTTTCCCACGAATTCCTGCTATATATTTCAGGATACGTAACTATCGAACGATATTCGTAGTTATATCATCATCATCAATGGTGCTACAGCCCTATGAAAGAGCCTCGACCTTCCCAAGTCTATTACGCCAGGCAGTCCTATCCATTGCCAACCGTTGCCAGTTTGCTGCGCCTATCTTTCTACCATCCTCATCTACACCATCCTTCCATCTGAGTTTTGGCCTACCCCTTTTTCTGCTTTCCACGGGTTGTGACATAAGGATTCTTCTAGGAGGGTTGTTCTGCTGTGATCTTGCTAGATGTCCTGCCCATCTTAATCTTCCTATTCTTATAAGAGATACTACGTCTTTACCACCAAATATTTGTTTATATCTGTGGTATACCTCGTAGTTGTATCTCCTCCTCCAAACACCATTTTCACAGATGCCACCAAATATTCCTCTCAGGATCCTTCGTTCAAATATAAGCAAAAGGTCTTCGTCTGCCTTGGAGATGGTCCATGTCTCCGATCCATATGTCAACACTGGCTGTATAAGGGTTTTGTATATAGTTATTTTTGTTTTTTGGCTTAAGTTTCTACTTCTCATATGTCTACTCAGTCCAAAATAGCATCTGTTTGCCATTACTATCCTTCGCTTGATTTCTTCCGTTATGGCGTTCTCTTTGGTGATCAGGGAGCCTAAGTATGTGAATTTGTCAACCACTTCAAAGGTAGAGTTATCAACCGTGAATTGGGGACCGATGTTCCTGGCTCTATTGTTGGGTGTTGATGCCATCATCTTAGTTTTCTCCTCATTTACTTTCAGGCCAATAGATTTTGAGGCATTTGAGAAGGTGGTATACATTTCTTCTAGCTTGCGTGTTGTGCGGGCAACTAGGTCCACATCATCTGCATATGTAAAAATTTGGGATGATTTATTAAAAATATTTCCTCTGTTGTCTATTCGGGCATCTCTGATTGCCTTTTCCAGTGCTATGTTGAAAAGGAGATACGCCAGCGCGTCTCCCTGTCGCAGCCCAACATGCGTTCCAAACGCCTGTGATTGTTCGCCCTGTATTTCGACTTTGCAAACCACATTACGCATTGTAGCCTTAACCAATCTTATTCGTAGTTATAGAAAAATTAAAAGCAAGGCTTCCTAGAAACATAGAGCTCAAGTTATGATATCCTAAATTAAAAATATATTTATCAACTGTAAAACTTCTACAAAGATGAGAGCTCCACTAAAATATCTACAGAAGTAAACAAAATTAAATAGGTTTTTTTTATTTCAGAGTTTTTAAAGAAGCTAGAAGAGTTAACGAACCTGGTTGGTTTGAAGACCAGCTGCCAGCTTTGAGGGCATACGCGAAACAGCTATTACGCCTGGTCGTAGTCATTAAGAAGAAAGCCAATAACCGTGTACATATATTGATAAGCGAAAGAACGTCGTGGCATCTTCCCGCCTGTGAAATTCATCCCAATAAAAGTATACATTCCACTCTTAAAACGTTTATGGTAGAATTGTTCGGGGCAGAGGTCCCGCAACATAGACCATGTGGATTATTGTCGGTAAGTTAACATTATGCTCTATAACACATAAACCCTATTTGTGGTGCATACTTTGTGCTACAATACTGACCTCGGAAAGTCTGTCCTTTCAACTCATGCAGACTATTCTCATATAGTGCCGCAGCTCGAAATATTGTGAGTTTTCTAGCATTATATCTATTGCGGCCTAGGCATCTATGCAATAGGATTTCTTTAAATTGGCTATCATCAGGGCTATTCTAATTTTGTTTATAAACAGTTCGTTTATTGTGTAGTTAAACTACTCTCTTAAGTTTCTCATCCAGGACCTTCTTCTGCTGTCGGGATCCCTTGTCATTTGATCTTTCTTTGCATTATATTTTGTGTATTTTTGTTCCCTTATTAGATGGCACAAATATTCCAATTTTATCTTTTTTATTTAGTACTAATTCGGGTTTGTTTATTCATTTGATGTTATGCTTCTTTATTTTCAATTGTGTTAATCCGTCGTATTCTTAATATTCGAAGATAGCACAAAATTTTAAACAGACACAATGAATGTTATTTAGCAAGAATAAAAACTCTAATTATCCTCATGGTAGGATCAAAATGGATAAAGATATTATCGGGAGAGTAGCAGCTTGCTATTTAACCCTCTCTGGACTGAATACATTTCGCAGATATCCAAAACTTTTTATACAAAAACATGATCCCACATTACGAGACCAGACTGTTCGTTATCTGGATCTGACTTCTCCTCCTCTTCTTCTTCCGTGTGTATCCTTTCGAGATTTCTTTTAAAATCATCCTCTTGCGAAGAATATTCTTGTTGATCTGAACCTTCATGAGACTCTCTGTCACTGGGTAGATATTCGTCAGAATCTCTCAGGAAAAGGTTCCTCTGGTTCTGAAAAGTCACTTAGCTATTCAGCGATATTTCCAATTTTTTTGTATTAAAAAACGTCTGGCATAATTCAGGAACTGCAAAGAGTAGACTGTTGTCACTATTTAGAGTCGATATAGAAAACTAGTGGGACACTAATGACCCGAGCAAAAAGACCATGTCCATGTCCCATTACATGAATTGTCCGAAAACAATGACGGAAAAATGGATTTTATTAGAAATTTTACTTTCAAAAACACTAAATATATTATTTTTTTTAAAACGCGCAAAATTTTAGACGTGAGAACCTGGAGAAGACCGGCAAGGTTGCAGGTATAGTTTGGAGGAGGCTCGATGTGTGCTGTAGTGCCATAGGAGATAGAGAATACTTAGTGAACTATGCTACTAGGAAGTAGGTCTAGGACACTGATACACTTTGTCTCTCCAAGGCACCGTTCCTCAGTCATTGAGGAAATATAAAGAACAAGAGAGGAAAAAAGGTCAGAGAGAGAAAAATTGTTCACAAAAAAAATGGATGTCACTCTTTTTAAATATTTTATTCACAAACAAAAAACAGAAAAAAGATGCTCAGAATACAAGAAAACAACTAAAATAGAAAGACCTATAAAAATATAAAAGAAACCAAAATATATGCAATGTATAGACAAATCTAAACAAACTAAAGGGTAAAAAAATCCTGATTACATTAAGATCTAAGCCGAGAGTAAAAATAAAAATTCGTCTCTGCATTGATGTCGCACAACCTTGTATCTCACATCGCATCGGCTGCGATCACCTGATACCTGTAAAGCTAGCATATCCGTTATATAAGACCGAATTCAGACCAACACTATAATTATTCGCTAATTTATTAATATAAGTGGAAAATTTTAAATTAATATAATGAAGAAGCAATGATTTACTTATGCTGCTGAGTCGGATCCAGCCCAATTTCGAGTATTTTCTTTCTGGCGCAATAACTCAAAAAAAAATATAGATTTTAATGAAATTTTTGATGCATATCAGTGGCGAATCAAGGAAGAACTGTATGGATTTTGGTGTATATTAACCATCGAAGTGAAATTTGTTGCATAAAAAGTGAATTATTTAACTTTTTGCAGTAACTTTAGTAAAGGGGCGATAGAATAAGACGAAATTTTTGGGGATTATTGGGTAATTTTGGGTATTGATCAATGTACAAATCAACAGCAATTAATTAGCAATAAAATATGCCACCAAGATGGGCCCTGTAGCCCCTTTCATTGCCGATATATAGCTTTGCTAGCTTTACCGTAAAGTTAGCATAATCATTGTGTCTCGAAACGGTGCAGCAATAAATTGTTTCTTGGCGTTTAAACTTCGGCAATATATTAGCAATCAATTCCTTGCGGTTCACTTTTTGGCTGATATCTTGGTTTTCCGGGGGTGTGTTTTGAGCTCGGGATGATGGGCTTGCTTTTGGAGATTGGTTAATATACCAATTAAAAGCAATTAGTTATCAATATATGCCGCCAAAATGAGCCCTGTACCCCTTTTGCTTGCCGAGATATAGGTATGGCTATGCTAGCTTTACCGTAAAACTAATATACCCATTGTTTCTCGGAAACGGCTACAGCAATAATTTTTTTCTTTTCGTAATAAATTATATTGGTCTGAATTTGGCCTTATAAAATGGATATGCTAACATTACAGTCATGATTTCCTAATTTCTACCTCGCAGTCGATTGGTTGAACCTAGAAAAATGTGCCAGAGGCATGTGGCAATTTGTAAACAGACCCTTATTGTGCTTACTTGTTAGACGCAATTCTAAACGCGTTATTATGCTAGATGCAATTAAGACTGTATAAACAAACACTCATAGTATGTCTTTTCGTTCGAAATTCAAGCGTTTCTTTACGTTCGAAGATTTGTAATATGTAGATTAAAATGTTATACAGAATGGACTTTGAAATACGTGAATTAAAACTTTGTACAAAACGGAATTTTAAAAATACTACAATACTATAATGCATTGCTAATAGCATTTTGCTGCTATTTTTTGCAATTTTTCTGTTTTACGATTTTTCGTTATTACTAATTTTAGTTTTATTTTTGAATCCAATTTAGATTTCTTGTTTATAAACTAATGTATACATGCGCATACTAATTATTGTAAAATTATTTATTTTTAGGTTGAGCATGATGCATCCACTAACAAAGATGGTCTATGTTTAACGCTTCTAGTAGCATTCCGTACACCCTTGGAAGAAGTGCCTATTATTGGAAAGTGTGTCTGGCACGAAGTGTCCAAAGACTTGGGTGATAAGTTGTTGCTGAAAGTAGCATCTAGGAATGCGACTTTCTGTCTGAATACTATAAGATGAGTTATTTTCCAACAATTTTAGATTATATTTACACTTCAAATACTGTGTATAAATGACTAATCAATATTAAAAACGAGAGAAGGGATAAAGATACGTTGAAGTGAGGCGAGGAGAAATGAGCGGTTGATTTCAAGAGATCGATTTTAACTAACATTGTTAATATGGTTATGGTCTACATTCCAACCTTTTAATCATAACGTTTTCTGTAAATTATATATTTTATATCTGTTAACATGTATATTTATTCAAATTATACTTTATTTGATTACATCAATGATTTTCTCTAATGTTAAACCCAAAAGTGTACGATTTTTCCTACTTCCTGACCTTCCCAACCAGAAATATTGGATTCCGTTCTCTCTAGGTTTGCTTAAAAGTTGTTGGAATTTTGCAGGCGTGTATGCTGATTTTTGCTCATCTTCCTCGAGTGTATCTCCCATACAAAAATATCTTCTGATCCATCGTAACCTCTCTGCAGTTTTTATACCTATGACCCTAAGGAATTATTTTCAAATAAAAACAAACAGGGCTCAAAATATCGAGTTAAAAAAACTTTATTTACAGACTATATCTAAAATCGTATAAAAATACAATGTACAAAAATAAATAACGTTTGGTTAACAGTACCAAAATAATAATGGTGAAAAAAATACTTCCCTATTATGTAACATTTATACACAACTTACAAAAATAAGGCAAAATTTAAATTCCTGAGAATGTACATTTTAGGGGGATTATTAAATAAATGCCACATATTCAAATAGTCCGATACTATTGTCCATGAATTATTCAAATTAATTTGAACGCTTTGACATCAGTTCTAAAGTATTTATGGAATTGACGGTTACTTAATAGAAGTTCATGTTCCATAATACAGCATACAACAAAACGTTGTTTTTAATATTTACATAATTTTAGTCAATTTGATATGTTTCGCTGAAACCTCAGCTTCCTCAGAAGACTGATAAAGTTAAACCATCTTAACAATAATATTATTCTGGAGAAACTGTTGTTTCTTTGCAACATGTTAAGTTTACTACCAGTAAATTAAAAACAGCTCTATGTTTTATGCTATAATATTACTATTATTAATTCTAAAACTGTATCTTGTCTGAAATGTCTAGTTTGCGTACAAAATAATCACGATTTTTTGTCTGTTGTGTGAATTTTCTCTAGTTTACAGTCCATAATTATATGTTTTTGAATTGACACAGAAAACTCTAAGAATCTTCGGTTTGATCAAAGTTTTGAATGGAAAAAATAAAAGTTTCCGTTTTAATTAAATATAGTGTAAGTCAAGATATAATTTTAAGGCTTTAACTTTTAAATCTTTCTATAACGCCTATAATTCTATCATAATTCTACCATGAAGAGGGGTTATCGAGTCTTATAGTTGTAAAAAAAGCTATAGACGAGCGATTGGGGAACCGGGAGAAATGAACCCAAATGGGGTAAAAATGAAATTTTTGGGGGTAAAAATGAAACTTTTGAGTAAAAAGTATATAAATATGCAGGCCACGCCATCTCACTCCCCACCACTAGAGTGTTATCGAGTTATATATTTGCGCAGTAAGCACAGCCCCGGCTACTGAAGTTACTTACTGTATGATCCATCGCCAGGCCCTTATAGTCAAATATTTAGAACCTCCTTAGAAATAAGATTGTAAATTTTATCAAGGGACATGCACTAAACACGCGGCTATTTCGTGAATTATATGAGGACGATGAAACTAAATATGCGGACCTACTTTACTATACAGAAGTAATGTGGCTCTCTCGCAGAAATGTACTATATCGAGTATAGACTCACAAAACCGAAGTAGAAATTTTTATGGTTGATCAAAAAATATTCTCGCAGATAAGTTTAAAAACTCTTCCTGGCTAACTCTTCTTGCATATCTCGCATATTTAGCGGACATTTTTGAGAGTATAAATATATTAAAGAACCGCAAGGAAATAATATTAATATCATTTCAGCGATATAAATAATGTCAACGTCTGGATTAAAGCTGCAATATTGGAGACAGAAAGTAGAATAGAACAAGATAACTTCTTTTCGATAGCACTCGAAGGTTAACTTTGTTTTTGAAAGATTGCGAAAATATTACTTTTGCTAACATCGAGGATACAATAGTAAGACATCTTATCAAGCTCGGAAAGCAGTTTGCAGATTACTTTCCAGATCTTGATACACGTTCTGTCAGTTGGATTGTAGATCCTTTTAAATGTGAAATTGCTATGATACCAGAAGAACCTTCAGGTTTAGCAGAAGCAATTCTTGAACTTCGACCTAACACTAAAGCACGTGTTCAATTTGAGAGTAAACCAAATCTGTCGTCTTTTTGGATGTCAAAAGCTGCAAAGCCTTTTTAAATTGCACATGAAGAGGCGGTTAAAAAATGGTTGCCATTTGGAACAACATATTTGTGCGAACAAGGCTTTGCCACTCTAATGAACGTAAAAACGAAGAACAGAAATCGATGAAACGCCGAAGACTGTATTCAAATCGCTCTTACATCAAAAAGTCCCAATTGTAGGAAAAACGTTTTCAATTATTCTTTTTTTTTTCTAATTTTGGTTTGTACCACCATTATTATTAATATTATAATTTGTTACAGTACCCCAAATTGTCAACCCTAAATTGTACCCCAATGGGCTTCAATTTGTTATGTACAATTGAGGAAAAAAAATTCGCCCCCACAGAAAATATAAGTAAATGATAATTTCTTATTTTGTAATTCATATGATATTTTTCTTGTATATTAGTCTAAAAATACAAGAAAAATATTATATGAATTACAAAATAACAAGAAATTCTTATTTACTTATATTTCTGTGGGGGCCAATTTATTTTCTCAAATGTATATTACATAATAATATATTATTATTATTATTACCGTTATGTATTACTAGGTATTACATTGATAAATTGAACAAATGATGTTTAAATTAAATTTTTAGTTATTGTTATTTTTTTACAATGCTATAATAATATGAAAGATGCTAAAAAGACGCGATTTCGTTTTTTTTGCTCTTCGCCATCAACTTACACAAAAATATTTTGGAGTAAAGATTAAAAAAGTTCCCCGACCGCTATATACACACCATAACTTTATCTTGACTTGCACCATAACCTTATAAGGACTAAAAGACAAGACTTATGAAGACAAGTGAATTTAAAAAGAAAATTTAATAAAGATTTAAGAGTTTAAATTTTCCGACTTTTCTTTTGTTTAATTTAATGCAAGTAATAAAAGATAAATACAAAGTAAAAATATATTTTAAAGTATGGATATTTAAATATGTTTTATTTCTAATAGCTCCCCCCAAATGTATAATTAATTAGACATTTAAAAACTAATCTAAATACTTAATTATATCAGTCAGCGTCTTTAAGACTATCGGTTTATAAATGAAAAATTGCAAGGACACATAATTTTTACAGACAATATTAGCATACCTCTTTTGCTAAAAATTTATTTCAAGTCTGACCTGAAAATATTTTAACAGATAAAAAGATTTCTTGTGATTATAACTACGGTTTATTAGTACGTTTTCTTCTCCAGGGGAATGAAGTATGAAATGACAAATAAGGTTTCTAAATTCGAAAGTAATAACTATTAATCTACAAGTTACGTTTGAAACTCTTATGGCACTTGAAAAACACCATAATTTAATTTTTGTGATCGACTACACCATATACGCGTTTAAAAGATCAATTAACAGTGTTTCAAAGAACAAAAATGTATGAGACGGGTCAGTAATTGTGCTAGAAGAGGATACTTGATGAGTTATGCTGCCACTATGAAGTCATTTAAGAAATCACATGAGTTGTACGGCAAATATGTTAGGTGCAATTTGCTAGAAATTATCAACACTGGTTTATTACTGACTGAATTATAATACTCAGTCACGTTTTGTTTCGTGTATGTGACAGTATGACAGTGTGAGCACAAGAATTTGTCAGTGTCTGTAGTTGAATTTGTGAACAACAGCATGCTATCATGATTTCAAGGTTATTGCTAAATTATTATATGTTTCTTGTTAAATTTTAATGTTTTCTTCTGAAAGTCGTTGAAAAATATAGCGCTCTACTGGAAAAGAAAACTAATAACGAATTAAACATCACCTATCTACGTATTGCACTAATTGCACATACAGTAATTATATTTTTTTGAAAAATAGCAGTAATAAATGATTTCAATGAACAAAAAATCCTTATTTTTGTAAATACACAACAATTTTTTGTAAATAAAACAATTTCTTTTTATGTATCACAATAAAAATTATTCGATAATAAAAACTCCTGGACAAAATTAACACATATTTTGTCTTTTACTGTTGCTTATCATTTTTACAGGGTAATAGTATACATAATTTGTGAAATATAGTTGTTTATGACCTCATGTGATTATTGAAACCATAATTACAATATTTGACGTTTTGAATAAGTTTATTTATATTTCATTATGGTGTTGTCGAGTTTTATTGGCAGCTGTTAAACACAAATTAGTAAAGCTAATTGTATGAACCATAGCTCTAGCTAATGATGGTTTATCTGATGGCAAACTTATTACAGCCAGAAAAACTTGAACAACATAAATACACAAGGATATCTTTGAGATATTAACTCCCTCTTTTAATATAGGTAACCAGATCCTACTGTATTCTGCCGAGGAATTTGCGACACAATCGGTCTCATTTAGCATAATTAGAGCCGCTTCTTTGATTTTTCTTTTTTTTACCATCTGTTTCTTTTAGGACTATACTTAAACCGTTCCATTCAACCCTATGTTCATTTTTCCTTGGGTTTTTACATATTTTGAGATCTATTGATGTTCACTTATTCCAACATTTAATGGCCTTGATGTTGAACCTAAATAAAACTGATCGCATTCACAAGGTATTTTATAAATACAATTCTTTGTTGTTTGTTGTTCATTGTTAGGTTTGGTTTTAGTTAAAATAGATTTCAATGTGTTTTTTGTTTTGTTGAATTTATTTCATACCCAAGTTTTTCTAATAATCCTGTTATGAATGGTATTGTTATTTCCCTCATATTATTCCTTGTGTATGCTGTAGTATCGCATTTTAAGTTGTTCTGTTCTATTCAGTCGATTGTTGCAAATTCCTTATTTATTCAACAACATTCAAAACAACAAACACATTGAGCACTATTTTATCTAAAACTAAACCTAACAACGAACAAGAACAAATAATTGTATTTATAAAATACCTTGTGAATGTGATCAGTCTTATTTATATTGTTTTGAAGCTATTTTCTTGTGGCATTTAAAATTAATTACTATTTAAATGGGAATAAGTCACAATTAAAGGTTAAAGTACGTTTATTGGCGTTTCCATTTCCACTTCGGAAATCGTTTTCAAAATACAAACATTAGTAAGTAATAAAATTAAATTAATAATTAAATAACTAATGTTTGTATTTTGAGAACGATTTCCGAAGTGGAAATTGAAACGTCAATAAACGTACTTTAACCTTTAATTGTGGCTTATTCCCATTTAAATAGTAATCAGTTTTATTTAGGTGAAACATCAAGGCCATTAAATGTTAGAATAAGTGAACGTCAATCTTAAAAATTAAAATTAAAAAAATTAAAAATAGAGAATTTGATAGATCTCAAATATGTAAACACGCATGGGAAAATCAACATAAGGTTCAATGGAATGATGCAAGTATAGTCCTAAAAGAAACAGATGGTAAAAAGAGAAAAATCAAACAAGCGGCTCTAATTATGCTAAATGAGACCTGTTGTATCGCAAATTCCTCGACAGAATGTAGTAGGATCCGGTTACCCATATTAAAAGAGGAAGCAAAATACCATTATTAGTAAGTCAGTAACATATAGAGCATACATCATTTATGTTTTTTAAATAACATATCTTTAAAATCAGAATTTGAGAGTAAATTAACTGTAAGACCAAATACTTACCATGTCGAAATAGTATTATGAGATTTTTTTCCTGGTTTTTTCTCATGATTTACTATGTAATCACTAACAGGAGAATTTTACTGTCAGAAGATTTTTTATGACAGATATGTTCAAGTTAAAGTTGAGTTCATGTAATCGAATAAACATCTTACAAAAAAGTCATCCCAGAAACGCAACTCAGCAATATTGGCAAGATATGTCTGAATTGTCAATATAAATGAGTCAGATAAAATTAAATTATTAGAAGAATTTTTCACTATGTAACAAAAAAAAACAAAATTTGTTTAATTTACTGTGTGTATTTTGAGAACGATTTCCGAAGTGGAAATTGAAACGTCAATAAACTTATTTTAAACTTTAATTGTGGTTTATTCCCATCAAGATAGTAATTGTTTAAATATATATTCAAACGCCAACCTTTGGTCTAGCTCTCTTACTATACATTTTTTTATATATATATTTTAAAACGTTACAAGATGTATTTGTTGTATTTTCATTTTTTTTAATAATTTTTAATGTGCCTTAGTAAGAGAATGTTACATCAAATGATTCACCTCATTCTCAACTATTTCAAATTTAACTTTGTATAACAAATTATCAACCCACTAGCTCCTTCTATTTCTCGGTCTATTAAAGGACTTCACGAATCAACAATCCACTGGAGACAAAACATATCAAAATAATACATAACAATACCAGTTGAAATTATCTGTTATCCATCAACAATTTAAGTTGCATTTTATACCGTTCTGCTTCTTGTTCTTTTCTTCTTAACTTGATTTTGTATTCTTCGATGGTTTTCCTAGCTTCCGCCAATTGTCTAGAGACTAGTTCCAGTTGCTTAACCGGATTTTCTATGCTTCTGTTTGGCACGTGTATGTCTTTGTTTCCGTTTGATATCTGAATCATTTCTTCGGAGATCTAAAACAGATTAATTAAATCAATTACACTAATTAAACACATCGCTAGTTTCTTTACACGTGCTGGATAAACTAATAAACAGATATTAAATGGATGTCGTAGCACTACTAGAAACTAAACTAACTCATTCTATTAACATCAAGTTTCCAGGATACGACATCTACAATAACGTCCACAAAGAAAATTCAGAAAGAACTGCTATCCTAGTGAGAAAAGAAATAAATCATACATTACAACAGATGCCAGCATTAAACACTATGGAAGGAACAACAATAAAAGTCCAGATGAGACAAGGTGAAATAAGTTTCACTTCAGCATATGTAATGCCAACAGATCCTTTAACCGACGAAGACCTGGATGCGTTCCTGAACATAGAAGAACCGTCCGTAATAATAGAAGAGTTCTAAACGCCAGTTCTCCTAACTGGAACGATGCCGCTACAAGCAGAAACGGAAGAATAGTAAATAATTATCTAGTGTGTGTGTGTGTGTGTAGATAGTGGATGGCATCAGAACTTGTCTATTTGCCACAGAAAATTTGTATTTTTTTTTTTTTTTTTTTTTAATTAAGGATAGGATAGGGATACAAAACATGGCCACTCGTTTCTTGTCTAGGGACCCATCAAGACATTTTTATTAAGACAAACTAGACTAGGTCACGGGCAGGAGGTATTAACAAATGGGGTAAAACAGAGGTTTGGATTCTAATTATATAATGTTTGTAAATACACATATATACATATTTAACCATATATGAGCTAAATTTCTATTTTTGCTTCTAAAACAAACTTGATTAAAAGGTTGTATATTTCTTTATCTTGTTGTGCTAATAAAGTAGGAATGTTAGTTGGTAGACTTACAAACTTTTTCAGTTCTTGGTACAGCATATCCGTATGTGCAGTATATTTTTGACACTCTAAGAAAATGTGATTTATGTCGGCTAACGGTTTTTTTGGACAGTAAGGACAACACGGAGAATCTACGATATCAATCCTAAATAAATGAGCTGGAAAGCGACCATGATTAAGTTTTAAACGTGATATAATTGATGACTTATATCTATTATAATCCCACGAATTGATGTAAGGAATGTTTGTCGGTAAAACTGGTTGAAGTTTAAAATAAAGGTTCTCTGATGTAGTTGAAAATTTACTGTACTGAGCTTCCCATCTAACCCTAACATCAGTTTTATATAAATTAATAAGATCTGATGAGCTGCACATGTTTACTTTCAATTCTGAGTCAAGTGCTTGTTTCGCTGCGAGATCAACTGCTTCATTCCCAGTTATCCCTGAATGTCCTCTAACCCAGACTAATGTAACTCGTACACCATACTCCTGCAGTTTATATAGACTATTTTTTATAGATAGAAGAATATTTTTGTTATAATGGTTAAAAGGAGGACTTTTAATGGTGTGCAAAACTGAGAGAGAGTCTGTTACAATTATCACAGATAAAGGTAAATTCATCTCGCACCAATCTAAAGCTTTCTTAATAGCTATAGCTTCTGCACTAAAAATCGATAAATAATGAGGGACTTGATATTGCTCAACATGGTTAATATTAGAAACTAAAAATGCACAGCCTGTTTTAAATCTTTTTTTTGATCCATCCGTATAAATGATGATTTTATTTTCTCCTAAATTACAGAGTATAGATTTGAAAATTAATTTTGATAGAAATATATTATCTGGATAGTTTGGAATTATAATGGTTGGTTTAAATATTAAGGCTGGAAAATCGATTTCGTAAATAGGATATTTTTTTTGACTATGTATTAGTTCTTTATGTCTCTCAGTGTTAATAAAAGCCTCAGCAAGCGGGGGAGACGTTTTAATTCTCCAATATTTGTTTGTAAGATTCTGGACCGCTATATTTGATATTTTTTTGACCATAAATGTACTAAACGTCCTATACTTTATTAGCTGTTTATTAGATAAGTACTCTCGTCGAAGGCACAAAGGCGGTTCTTGTGCTTCAGCGAGAACTGCATAATTCGGTGATGACATCATAATTCCTAGACTTATTTTAATTGCCTTATATTGAATTCTGTCTAAGGTTAATAAGTTTGATTTGCTAGTTGAGGCATAAATAGTACATCCATAATCCATTATTGAGCGGATGTATGACTTATAAAAAGTAAGGGATATTTTAACATCTGCACCCCACTTATATTTCGAAACTGCACGCAGAATGTTGAGCCCTTTCTCACATTTTTGCTTTACGTGTTTTATGTGGCTGGTCCATAGGAGTTTATTATCAATATAGATGCCAAGATATTTATATTCTTTTACTATGGGTATAGTAAAATCACCTATGGTATACAAATCGGGTGTTCTAAGTCTGTGCCTAGTAAGACACATAACCGCTGTCTTTTGCTGTGAAATACTAAAACCCATAGTATGTAACCAATCACGTATGCAGCAAAAAATATACTCTAAATCTGTAATACATCGTTCATATGAACCATGGATAGTATAAAAACAAATATCATCAGCGTACTGAATAACTTTTATATTGTCATCCATCAAACCATGCAGCTCTGCTGTGTATACATTAAATAAAAGTGGACTCAATATTGATCCTTGCGGCAAACCGTTATATACTGTTCTTGGCCCGTGGAGTACATTTCTGTGGTCACGAATATAAATTTTTCTGTTTAGAAACAAATTTATTAAGTTATTTGATACCTGTTTGCTGATACCCATTCTACACAATTTTGTTTTTAAAATACTCAAATCAACCACATCATATGCACCTTTTAGGTCCACAAATAGGCATAACATGTATTTGTTATCAGATAAGCATATTTGTGCATCTGTAACCATATGGGTCAATGCATCTATAGTACTACGGCCTCTCCGAAATCCATACTGAGTAGTGGGTAGGAGAGAATTGCTTTCAATAAAATATTCTAGGCGAAACTTAATCATGCGTTCAAAAGTCTTGGTCAGACAAGACATTAACGATATAGGTCGATATGATGAGGGTAATTTTGGATCTTTAAATGGTTTTTTTATTAAACATATAACAATATTTTTTAAATCCTCAGCATATTCTTGTTTTACCCACCAGTTGTTAAAAATTTTTAAAATTATTTGTTTAGCTGACACTGGAAGATTGTGTAAAATTTTATATGTGAAACCATCCAAACCGGGAGCTGTGCTTCTGGTTTGGTTTAACGCCAAAATTAACTCTGAATATTCAAAATTTTTAGACATAGTATCTGAAGTAGAATAAAAATGAAAATTTTTTTGATTGTCTATATCGACATTAGAGACCGAAGGCGGGGCCAGCTGATTCAGAACATCCTCAATTAAATCTTCGTGCAATGGAGGTTTATTTTGTTTATGATATTTGTTTCTTATAGCTTTTACACAATTCCAAATGTTTGAAAGAGGTGTAGATCTATTGAGTTGATTAACAAAGGTTATCCAACTATTTTTTTGTTTTAACTTGAAAATGAGTTTAGCCTTTGCTGCAATATTTTGATAATTCAGATAATTTGTAATATTTCCTTGTCTTCTGAACAATTTAAGTGCGTGGGAGCGACTTTCAGCTATATCAGAACATTCTTCGTCCCACCAATAGGGCCTTGGGACAGAAGGAATGAAAGGTTTTTTAACTGGCATGGATGCAGATGCTGCTGAAGATATGACTTCAAATAATTTTTTTGTTATTCGACAGTTATCTGAATCATTTAGAGCTAAATTTGTACTGATTTCATTTTCAATAAATGCTTGAAAGGCTGACCAATCGGCACGACCGTCATTCCACTTAGTTGCCGGATTGATTTCGAAAGATATGGGAGCAATTTGGAGCTGAATTTGAATAGGGTAGTGATCAGAACCTAAAGTGTCTTGATATACTGACCAATTTACCAAATCTGCCAAGAAAGGGGAGATAAGAGTTAAATCAACTGCAGAGTGATTACCATTGGGATTAACTCTAGTGGGCGATCCATCATTTAAAGTAATTAGTTCCAAAAAATCTAAAGCTTCTGTTAAATCCTTTCCCCCGCGATCTTCCGGAATAGGGCCCCACCTGTGATGGTGTACATTAAAATCGCCGCAAAAAATTGTACGAGAGATATCAAACTGTACCAATAAATTTAACCAATCTTTTTTTGTGGCTGCTATGTCTGTAGGTTTGTATACTGAAACTAAAGAAATATTTATATCTGGAATAAATACTGCACATACTTCAATGCCCCTTGAAAAATTTTGGGTTATTACACTTTCTTGATAGTTAATTGTTTGTAAGATAAATATACCAACTCCGCCATATCCGTCATCACGACATCTTTTAATGAAATTATATCCCTTTATACTAAAATTACTATTAGACTTAAGCCAAGTTTCAGAAAGTATGATAATATCAACATGGTTTTTATTAAGGTAATTTAACAAATTATTTTTATTAGATGTTATTGACCTACTATTCCACTGCAAAATTACTAATTGGTTTTTAATTGTTTGTTTATTAGCCATTTTTAAAGTTTAATCAGTAAAAGAGTTTTTCACTTGAATCTGATTCACTATATGTTTCCATAGCATCATTTGGATCACTTGGAGCAAAGGCACTTTCTACAAAGTCCCTGATATTAGATTCCATGAGAGTATTTGGTGCTAATTGAAAATTTTTTTGAAATTTATTTATGAAGGAGGTAATTAACATTATAGTTTTCTCTTTATAGTCCATAAATTCTTCTCTGTAAGGGTTAGGTATAATGGGTTTAGGTTTTTGACTAGGTTTATAAGTTTTTTTTACAGGCATCGTATCTGGTGTAGGAGAGGTTGGGTGTGTTCGTTTAATTGTTTTATTAGAATTGGCTTTAGAAGCTGGTTTTGGTTTTTTAAAAGTAATATTAGACGATGGACTGTCGCCAGAAGTATTTGGAAAAGCTGGAAAATTGTTATCGTTGTTTAAAATAGAGAAACGGTTATTCGTAGCCACCTTCGCATATGATGGATTATTATATATATTTTCGGCTTCTTTAAAAGAAATGTTTTCAACTGACATAATTTGTTTAATCCCCTTTTGCTTTGCATATACGGGACAAATACGTGAAATTGAGGGGTGTTCGTTATTATTACAATAAATACACAAATTATTTTCTTTACAATCCTCTTTTGTATGACTTGTATCTGTACACTTTTGGCATCTCTCATTTTTTGATTTACATTGTCTAGCTGAGTGGCCATATCTCAGACATTTGAAACACTGTACAACGGGTTGTACGTACGGTTCAACATGAAAATTGCATAAATTTATTTGTATACATTTTGGAATTTCATTTCCTAAAAATTCTACTATTATCATTTGTCTGTTTACCAAAACTACGTTTCCATCAGAGTCTGTAATTTTCCTTTTCATACGATTGACACATGATACCTGTTTGTTTGATTTGATAGCAGTTAATAAATATTCTTCAGAAAAGAAAGTATCTACCATCCTGACAACTCCTTTTTTGTGTGTATAAAATTTAGGTATAAATGCTATTAACTCATTTTTTAATATAACTTCGTGGTTTACTAAGCTATTGGCTATTTCTAATGTATTAAAAATAACCTTTACCCTATTAACACCTACCGGTTTAATATCTATTACGTCATTTTTTAAAGTTTCATCTTTAAGTAGAAAGTGCCCTATTTTAATTGGAAAAAGTCTCCCTAAATTTTTATTTTTGTGTTCAACAAACACATAAAATGGACCAATATCTCCTGGTCTATAACTGTTATTCATATCAATTAGTGGAACATACCTGTTGTTTTCACTATCACTTTTATCAAACGTGTTTTTTTCATCGGGCGGCTTATCACCGCCCGTTTTTTCTGACATCACTTACGCTTTAAAAAACTCTAATATGCTCTTCGTAAATATCAATACCAAAACTAACAACTAATTATACTTATATTTTAAAAGAATCAATCACCAGTAAATTCACAAAAACTCGAATACGTCCACACACCTTGACTAACGAATTCGAACGAATTATCTAGTGACAACCTATCTTCCAGGAAATGATCTACCAACCCATTTGGATATAGTAGAAGCTAAAAACCTAGGACTACAAACAGAGATCCGAACCTTAAACGAAGGATCAGGAGACCACAATCCCACACTCCTAGAAATGGAACATGGGAAGAAGATAAAAAGAAAAACAATTAAAAGAAAGAAATAAAGTGGTCAAACGTTGCTACAATCGACAATTCACAAAAAATAAAAGAAAGAGTCCTACAGCTTGAAAACATTATAAAAGAAGCACTAAGAAATAGCACCACTGAAAAAGAAAGAAATGATAAGGGAAAAGAATAGAGCCAAAAAGAGTACCAGAAGAACAAGAAATCAGAAAGTCAAAAAGGGTATTAATAGAACATAGAAGCCAAAAGATAGGACTAGTTATATCTAACTGTGAGCGTGGATAACGTGGAGCTCCGGAAGCTGGAGTACCGCAATTTATCACCCCTTCTGTATAGCATATATACAGCAGACGTTCCAAGAACACCCGGAACACTACCCAGCCTATGCAGATAACACTGTAATCACGGCAAAGCACAATAATCACAATATAACTGTAAGAAATCTACAGACGGCACTGGATAAAATAGAAGAATGGATTATGCAATAGCAATAATTCCAGAGAAAACAGAAACACCCATGAAACCTCTGTATAATGTTGATAGTCCTATGGAAAGAGTAGCAATCGACATTGCAGGTGAATTTCCAGAAACGGATGATGGAAATAAATATATCCTGGTAGCTATGGATTATTTTACCAAATGGACTGAGACCTGTGCGATACCAAATCAAGAAGCTCCTACCGTTGCAGAGGTACTTGTTAAATAATGCTTCAACCGATTCGGTGTTCCCTTAGAGATCCACTCCGGCCAAGGGTGAAACTTCGAGTCAACCCTTTTCCAAAACGTTTATAAATTGATTGGTGTCAATAAGACCAGAACGACACCTCTGCATCCTCAATCAGATGGAATGGTCGAGAGGATGAACCGAACGATGGGTAAACACCTGTTCAAAGTTGTATCAGAACATCAAAGAGGACCAGCACATTCATTTATTCCTAATGGCCTACCGCTCGACCGTAAACGAAACTACAGGCCAGACTCCAATCTGCTTGATGTTGCGTTGTGAAGTTCGTTTGACCTACGACCCAGAGTTTGACTGCAGACCTTCCGAAGAACATACTGCAAGCGTAGAATATGTCGACCGCCTGAAGTTAAGAATGAACAGCATTAATGAACTTGACCGACAACACATCCAGTTAGCCAGTGACAGAATGAAAGATCAAAATGATTCTTGATGCAAGAATGAAAGTTTTGAAGTAGGTGATATTGTTTGGCTTTATAATCCACACCGTCGTCGAAGCTTGTCTCCTAAACCAGAAAGACAATAAGAAGGTCCGTATGAAATTAAAAAGAGAATAAATGACGTGATATACCGAATTAAGAAGTTGCCAAAAGGTAAGCCAAAAGTTGTTCACATAAATCGTCTATCACCTTATTCTGGCTAAAATGAAAAAGAAGAAGCACGAACCCGAGATTAAAGATAACAGGCGACAAAGCTTTAAGGAGTTTATTTCAAATTACGCATAAAAAGAGTGCTAGATTCGGTGTGACCACAGAAGTTCAACAGGATCTTTTTAGTATTCCGGAAAACGTCTCTCTAGCTCACTGTGTTGCCCAAAACCTCGAGATGACTAAAGGAATTTCGTCCGTATTCAATAAGAAGTTCGGTCGCTTGGACGAGTTGAAAAATCAGCAGCCTAACCAGCAGGAAATATACTGCGATTAGAAGATAGTCTTCAATCTTTGCTGTATATGGTGACCAGGAAATCTTATACAGACAGGCCAAGCTGTGATGATATATGGCGTGCTCTAATATAAAGAAAATTATGTACAATTATGACATTAAGAAATTGGTTATACAAAAGATAGTACACGCACTACAAAATTTGGATTGGAAGATTGTGAGAAATATGCTTGAAGTGATCTTCCGAGAAACCGGCGTACCGAAGGTCGTGACCTACAAAGTCAGTAGACTGTTAGTTCTGCTTGAAAGGTTTATGCAAAGTCCTGTAGATTCCGCCATCCTGGACCTACATGTAGAGTTGCTGATTCCTCAAATCTAAGAGGGGAGCAGTGTAACAAGAAAGCTAATTTCGACGTAACCCATATTACGGTTGCATCTCTTAGAATGACGACGCGTAGACCAGAATATTAGAGACGAGGATCCGCAAAACATACGACGCGGCTAACGAGGCGTTCATAATGAGGACGATAGAGATGGACTATTCTAGAAACTTCTGAAAGCCTGTATTTGTATAAAATACACAAGCCGCGTTGATATTAGTTAGTTTAGTTGATAAGATATTACTGTACTGTAAGTTTATGAATAAATATATTAACATAAATTATAACCGCTCGTTTTATTAAACACGTTATACTTACTAACAATAGAAAAATATCAGAACGATAATCCATATATTTAATACTTACTGTCGATGTACTGATTGGTATCAATTTATTCTTCTTCATCATTACTCTTTTATACGGTCCTCTAGTAGGTATCACTTTCAAATTTTGTAAACCACTCATCTTACTATTATTGGCCATGGATAAAAATTGTTCAGGGGTAACAGTTACGATTTTCTTTTCTAGATGTAGTACGGGAGATTGCTTCTTCAGTTCCGACTGTTTCACGGAATTTAGTACTTCTTTCCCAACCTCTGAAATTTATATACGTAAAGGAATTGTTATTAAGGAATTATTATTGCACAAATTCGTTGAAAATTTTATCTGTAATCTGTACCTCAGAGCCAAACTGTATTAACTCACAAAATTGAAATTGAAAAAGAGAGCAGTTTAAAAGAAATATAAACAGTAAATTTTAAAGAGCTATACGCTTATGGTTTTGTGGTTTACGGGCACTACCGCGTCTCGTTGGATACATCTTAGGATTGGATCTTAGGATCGGGGCATACTGGGATAATCCCTGTACTAGGACGAAATGGGGCCTCCAAACTGGGATAAAAAGGGGACCACCATACTAAGACTCTATTTAGACGAGAAAACGCAAAAATAAGATATGCAGAGAAACAAAAGGTACAAAAATAAAGAAGACATTTTATAACAAAGAACTTACTCTTTTTGCTTTACCTAACTGAATTTTTGCGGTATTTCGGCAATACCTTCAAAGGGTTTATTGCAGCGTATTTGAATAAATTAGTATGAATAGGCATTTTATAATAGTATGGAATCGGTACCTTTTAATTACATTATTGTGAAATATTTATAAAAAATAAAGGATTATACTGAGTGAAATATAAAATTTAATAAATTAAAAGAAATTTAGCCACCATGTAGCCCATCGGCTTTTCGACACATTACAAAACGATCATCAAACATGGAAAAATACAAATAAATTACTATAATACAAACTGAGATGTAATTTCGAAGCTTTTCGAAGAGAGTTAAGTTAGATTAGATTAAGAGAGGTGGCTTTTCGGCCTATTCCACTGCGACCTTTTCAGATCTATTGTGGTCATCTAGTCCTAGATAACATTCTCTAGCTTGACCCTTTTTATAAAGTCTAGTAGCTTCGAGACTGTACCTTCCATGCAGCTATTTGCCGGTGGATTTTCTTCTCCTAATGCAAAGAACCGCACATTTGCCAGACTGTCACACTGACAAAATATGCTATGGCTTTAACTGTTTTCCTGTCTTTGCTTATTAGTGCCACTGACAATGATTGCTATTAATTACTATTTATAACTGGGAATAAGCCACAATTAAAGATAAAAATACGTTTATTGACGTTTCAATTTCCAATTCGGAAATCGTTCTCAAAATACAAACAGTAAATTAAACAAATTTTGTTTTTTGTTACATAGTGAAAAAATTCTTCTAATAATTTAATTTTATCTGACTCATTTATATTGACAATTCAGACATACATTATGCATTTTAAAGTAGACGACTTTAAAATGATATTGCCAATATTGTTGAGTTGCGCTCCTGGGACGACTTTACTTAATAGTATATAAATATTAATTTATATATTAATTTATAAATAGTAATTAATTTACAATGCCACAAGAAAATAGCTTCAGAACAAATGATTGCTATATCGTCAGCACATCCTAGACAATATCCTTCTGTGAACAGATTTCTGAGGAGATCATCTATCAAGGTTGCCGAAAGTAGAGGGGACAGAACTTTTCCTTGTGGACAGCCCCCACCTACTTTTACTTTGATGGTTGCTTTACCTAGAGTGGACATTACTGTCCTATTCTCCAGGGATCCCTTATCCATCTGCATATTATCGCAGGCGGCCTCGTCTACTCATAGCTCCTATCAAAGAGATGGTGGTAACATTATTAAATGCCCCTTCTGTATCTAAAAAAACGGCCATTGCTATCTCTTTGTCTTCCATTGACTTTGAGATAAACCTATTTAGATCATCCAACGCAAAGTCCGTAGATTTACCAGGTTGGTATTCATATTGACGATTCCTTAGATGATTATCTTTTAGCACTTCGTCTCTGATGTACCTATCAAGAAGCCTTTCCAGCGTTTTAATAGAAAAGAAGACTATTAAGAAGACTTTTAATAGAAGAAGAATACCTTAGGCAAGTATATGACTTTAACCTTTTGCCATATTTCCAGTACGACCCCCTATGCTAAACTGGCTTTAAGGAGCTTGCATAGGTGTGGTATCAATATTGTATGCAACAGTATTGGATATATGCTATCAGTCCCTGGAGATTTATATGGCCGAAACTTATTTATAGCCCATTTAATTCTGTATAGTCTGTGTGACTGCTGTGGCTATTTCCCAATCTGTAGACCTTGAAGTAGACCTACATCATCCAGAATTGTTGAGCCCGGAATGTGCATCTTTATCAGTTCCCTTAGACTTTTATCTTTGGTGTCCGTAAATTTACCATTAGCTTTCATTAGGAAACCTACTTCTCCATGGATTCCTTTTAGCTTTCCAAATTTTTTTCGGAAAGAAGAGTGAAGTTAATAACACCATCGAAAAATTTCCTAGTTACAAATAACTACTTCGTCAACCCGACAATGTTGAGGCGTAAACAACACGGATCTGGTTAGATGACTCAAAGAAGATGTGGTTAGACTAAAAGGAAAAAACGCTTTGGTGTTGAGTAAGTGAAAAGTGATGAACAGAACATAGTGTAATGATTGTAAAGGTTATTTGTGTAATAAATTGTTAAAGATAGTAAGTATGTCCTTAGTTTAAAGATGGGTACACATATGCTCCGAATGCCGTCTCGAACCACGTCGCGTTCTCAAGTGTGGACGGAGTCATGCAACAGCGTACCGTACCTCGACGCGTCAACAACGTACATCGAAGCGATCCATCGGTTGTCGGTAAAATGCCTTCGCATCAAAAGGAATTTGAGCGCGACAATGTACACCGCGAATTCATGTTTGGACTAGCTTGCGAATCTTTTATCGAATCTCCAGTCTTCAAAATAGGCAGTCTGTTATTTTGAAGGATGAAGGTGTTTTTAATGTTGAGTGCATCAAGGTGGAGTGGACGGAAGAGAATAGTTTACTCTTAATCGAAAATTATCGGGAAAAAGAGATATTATGAGACACAAATAATCCCAGATACTACAATAAAATAAAAAACGATGCATGGGAAAAGATTGCTTCTAAAATGGAAATGACAGTGGATGAGTGTAAAAAAAATTACCAATTTTCTATCTGGATTACGGAGAGAAAAAGGAAAAATTAAAAAAAGTAAAAGCACAGGAACAGCTGAGTGGTTTATGAATTTTTAAAGATATCCTTGTGAAATTTTTATAGAACTCACTGATCGACTGAAATTTTAAATCCAAGAGTAAGTAATTGCCACCATATTTCTCCCTGCTTTTATATATTTGTGTTTGCCACCATCTTCTTTCACGAATATTTTTCGTTTAATTAACTGAATTAAACGAAACAGCAAGATCCATCTTGCACATGCGAATTCAACTCAATTACTGCTGGAACGCTAAAATGTTTGGTACAAAGTACGGAGCGATGTTCGGTTCGTTACTTATTTCAATGCCCCTGTAACAACGTCGCGAACTTCTGTTAATCGCGTCGCTGTACGCGACGGGGTTCGAGACGGTATTCGGAGCATATGTGTACCCACCTTTAAGTTTCTTCGTAACAAGTTAGAAAAATGAGGGTTATTGTAAGTAAGATCAGACTGTAATGTTTATAAACATCTTCGCGGGCTGTTTACAAAAATCTATAAAGCAAATGAACGTTTTCAAAAACAACAATAAATTAAATCACTTACCAGTCAAAACCACCGAATGTCCGCTTTCCATTACACTATTTAGGATGTTTCCATCATCATTTTCATCATTTTGTAACATGGTGATGCCGTGTTCTTCCAGTATTTTAAGGGAGCTGTTCAGTATACTCGGATCTACTGTAACGTTTTGAATAAGCTGTTCATTTTCTTTTTCTATCCTCTCTTGTTCTGTTTCTTCTTCTTCCTCGTCCTCGTCTGGCACTAAACAGATTTTATATTAAAACATTGATGGGAAACTATTTCTTAAAACACTAATATACAATACGAGATACACCAAATAAATGCATATTAAAATTATTAACTTTTCTGAACATCCCTTTTCACAAACTGTGCGCTTTTGAAATATTTCTTTAACGCTATGAGAATAATAGCCACAAAGATATTTATCCAAAAAATGATTTCAGGTTAGAATTATTAAGTCATACGAAACCACTAACAGATTGAAAAACACACTTTAATATTGCAATATGACGAAACGTAAGACGCAAAAATTGTAATATCCTATGCTTTGCAGGAACGAAATAAAGTTTTACAGTTATAACTACTGTTTGTGTATATTTAAGATTGATAATTACAGAAGTTTAATATCATTAACTGTAATAGAATATCAACTTATCGAATCGAATCGAAGTTTTCGAATTTTTTAGATTAAGCCAGTTGGATTTGGAAGAGGTTTTTCACATATTGTCTTAGAAATGACAGACAAAACTTCTCAATGGGGAGCTGTTTTTTATAATTATCAAATTAATCATTCAATAGTTGCACATGTATAAAAGTTTTTCTTATAAAGCTAAATTTTAATTGTGATATCAGAAACAAAACAGCTGAAAGTGTATGGTTTTGTGACACATAAACAATTACTGTTTATTACCTGGAACATCTTGACTAGATTCAATAACTTCTATATCCTGATTGTCGTCTTCATATTCCTCTGGTTCTAAAATAAAAAAAGCTTCTTTACCAAGATGAGAGTTCCTATTCTATTTACACATATTCCTACACATTCATATTATGAATTCTTTTGACAGTCTTCAAGAAGTTTGCAATAATTTATGTTTAAAAGACAAGTTAATAATCATGGTACTCCGAGGATCATAAAATAATTACAATTCTTTGATCTCAAGAGTGCAAGGCAAAGTACTGAACAAAAGTATTGTATATGAAATAGAGGTAGATATAGCGCGAAGCTTTACAGGATACATGATCTCCACTACCCTTCTACATCCCTCCTAAAAATTTAAGATTAGAATTGGTTTCCTCCCATACTATAGTAGTCGAACACTGCCAAAATACCCTCCTTTCACTCCAGAAAAAATCATGACGCAGAAGAAACCCGAAGGAATCCAGTGAATATAAAAAAAGAAAGGCTTCCTTTTATCCATAATCTATACTACGTTCCACGTTTAGAAAATAACATTGCGGAGATAGGGCCATGTATTTCTTATGGACGATAGCAACGCGGCGTTGCCACGACACACACAAGCACAATTTAGGGTTGTATAATTTGTATTTTTGTTTCCACAAACATGAATTAAATTAATGTTTTTTAACGTAATTGACCAAAAATGTGCCCATTCGAAACAAGAGATGAAAAGTAGGGAAAATGATTTTAATTAGATAAATAGTATTTACAAAAGATAATTTTATTTTATCTTATTTTAATTATAGTAACGACAGTTTATTTGTTTATCGGTGAGAATACGATATACCATGAATCATAGAAATCAGTAGAAAATATTGACCGCTTGGAATGCGTATATCTAATTACTAATTGCAACTTAAAATAATACGATGTGCGTATGTCAGCTATTTTATGTCGTTCTCTGACTACATAATAATAATAAGGCTTTTATTTAGTAGTTATTCTGACTTTACAGTTAAATGGTAATTGAAAATGAAAATTCAAAAATTAAGCAAAGGGAATATCTTGGACATCCGTGCAAAAGAGAGTGTCTGAGAGTTTTGGCAACACTGATCTCCATAAGCGTAATGTTATTTTCTTAACTTGAAACAAAGAATAGATCTCAATTCTGTACTGTATTCCATATCGCGCAAACAGACGCTACGTCCTTTAACAGTAAACGCCACCATTCGAAGGATATCAGCAATGGTCAGAGACTCAAATGATCAGATATATTAGGGCCGTCGAAGAGACGATTCAACAGATTCATTTTTTCCTTCTGGATATGTTGAGTATTTGAGTTACTATACGTGAATACTGTCCTCAACTGTTGGTTTTAGCTTCTAAGTTTGTTGAGTACTTAAGTTAACGTTATCTCCTGAACAAGCTACCTACCAGTGTAGCGAAACATTGAGATTGATTGGAGCATACAAGGGTCGTCCAAAAAAGATATGGTCCAGAAAACGATCAATTAATTACGTCTTCACAATATATTCAGTAACTGCTGATACCAATCGCAAACAACCCTAAAATAATATAGGTATCTAAATATAGGTTGTGACAATATCTGCAAGTTTAAAATGTCATGTCCTTGCCCAACATCGTATCAATTTCATTTATAGTCTGGAAAATATTAAATGAAATTAGTCATCCGAAATCACGCGCCGTAAGTGGTGAAATTTTAGTCGAAATCACGTTTCCATAATGAATTCTAGGAAATTTTGTCATTTTACATTGTAACTATGTATGTATGTATAGCGTTAACAGACCTTTTAGGCTCATTGCTGGGTGGATAATTTCCATCGTTTTCTGTTCTTAGCTATCAGCTTCCAATCTATGATTCCCACCTCTCTGACATCTTTCATCACTATATCACTCCATTTCTTTCTTGATCGTCCTCTCTTTTTTGCCCTCAGTTTGCCTCTCCAAACAATATTCTAGACTAGTATATTACCTTGCATTCTTTCTAGTCTACGTTTTCTCACCACTTTTGTTATTGTAGAATTAGCATACAATTGGTACAATTCTGCATTAGTTCGTCTTCTCCATTCTCCCTCCATCCACCATCTCTAATTCTACAACTGATCCATCCTCCACCTCCAATTTAAAAAAGCCCCTGATGTTTATTCCTTTTTTGCTTGAGATTTCCATGTACTTGGATTTATTAATATTAACTTTCAGTCCCATATTAGAGCTTTCCCACATCAGCCTTTTTGCTTTACTTGCCAGTTCTTTTTCATTTGTTGCAATGAGAACCACATCATCAGCGTATGCTGAGCATTGGTGCTCTTTGTATAAAATAGTGCCGGACCTATTTATCCCACTAACACAATTTTTTCTAGAATGATATTGAATGGCAAGGTAGACTCCTTGGCGAACAACTTTTTTCACTTCGAATTTTTCTGAGACTGTTCCGTTGCATTTCCAACACAAATGGTTTGTCTAATTGTCATTTTTAACAATCTTATTATTTTTTTCTGGCACTTGGAATCCTTTATCGTTTCTATTAATTTGTTTCTGTCTATTATCGTAGGCAGCTTTGTAATCAATGAAAAGTACTTGTGCTGAAATGTTGTATTCATAGCAATTGATCAGGATTTGTTTTAGCATAAAAATTGATCGGTTGTTGATCTTCTCTTACGAAATCCTCCCCTAGATTCTTCTCTACATATATTTCTAATCGTTTTTTGTGTATAGGAATTATAATGGACTTGTTTCATTCTTGAGGCATTTCTTCGGCATCCCACATTTCTAGTATTAGCTCACTAAGTTGATTTGTTAAAGCTTCTCCTCCATATTTTAAGTTCTCTGCCACAATGCCGCTCTCCCCGGGCGTTATTTCGTCGTTCTTCCCTGATACCGTTATAATGTATTTTACATCTTTGTAAAAATTTTATTGTTCTTGTAATTTTCTTCAATACGCTTTACTTTATCATCCATAAACTTTCGTTTCCGCGCTCTTAGGTTTTTGTTTACTTTTCTTCGTTGTTCGGCATACCTTTCTAGGTCGTCTTGTTTTTGCGATCGCAAACATTTTAATCTCAAATCTAATCTTTTTTTAATTCTGTTCTACATGTGTCATCGAAACCAACTCTTTTTGTTCTTGGTATGTTCTTCGACGTTGCTTCCTTTATAAAGAGCCATTTTCAAGAACTTTTGTTGTATGTTACTCACAGTAGCACAGTCTTGTTTGGCGTAGGTTTCTTGTATATATATATAATATATATATATATATATATATATATATATATATATATATATATATATATATATATATATATATACACGTATTTAGGCGGCACACGCCCTTCCGGTAGGGATCTATGGAGGAGTATCACCGAGCCGCAAGCCCTTATCTCTTGCCGTACTGCTCCACCATAGGCCGATCAGAAATCATCATATTCCAGTCTAAGCCGCAGAGTCATTTAGAATTTTAAACTGCTGCGTTAGCCTATTTGTTTTCTGTACACCGAGCTGCGGATCGAACTTACATCCGCTGACCCACTCGCAGTGAAGCGAATGAGAATCCGGCCGCCCAGCCCGCTTATATGTGACCAACTTGTATATTATTTTGATAATCCTGCAACACCTCAAATTTTCGCAGATTTTCAAAATTAAATTTACGTTGCACTTTCTTTTTTCATTTATACTTTTTAATTATTGCATCTCTCATATTAATCCTAACCAAAAAAATGATCAGAGCCTACGTCAGCCCTTCTGCACGTTTTCAAATTTGTTATTAAATTTCGAATTTAATTTCTCTTGTAACAACAGAATATCATATTTCTGTTTATAATAATAAAAATAATACATTAGATTTAGTTTATAAAATAAGTTTTCATTTACATTAATAATGTACCGGCTGAACGAATGAATGGAAGTCGACTATATACCTTAAGATGTAAAATACTCAAATTAGTATATTCTTTTTATTTCAGAAGGGTATTCAATTATTTATTTTGTTAATAGAAAGAGTACTGGCAACCGCAAATGCTTGTTTGGTCTGTATATACATAATGTCTTCTAAAAACATGCCAAAACGTGTTTATTTGAAAGTATTACGTGAATCATATTGTTACAAATACAGTACTCCTCGCGATTGATTCTACGTATTGCGTTTGCGACAGTAAACAAAACGAAACGCAATTATCAAGATTCGAAGTTTATTTCTGAGAAAAATTTAATTCTCTTGAGTGTCAATGTCAAATAACGGAGAACTCTATTTAATACCGGAAATAATCAATGTCCTGACATTATGTTGACATCTGTTTCCACAGCAAAATAAAGACACAGCAGATGTTGTGACACTCAATTGTTTTTTTAAACAGCCAGATACATCCATCGAAACCAAACACTATTCCTTTCTTATCCAACACTTTTGTATCCATCTCGCATGAATTTAAAATAAATATCCGAGTTTTTCAACCAAAAGGTCGAGGACTATTACTTCTCAGATAAATAGTATGTCCGCATTCAACACTAGAATTCCCAAGGTTATGGTAGTTTGCTTCGCCCAGAGAGAAAAATTCGGGAGGAGTCAAATGCCGACACTCTTTTTTAGTGTTTTAAGTATGCGTGGGTCCTAAAAAAGTGAGTTTTTTTTTAAATTCTGAAACCTCAGAATAATTTTGTAAATTGTCCCTCAGAGATCTCAGTTACAAAATGCCGACAAAAAATGTTAAGTTGTAGTCTATTAAGTAAAGTTCGCTGTGAAATCAGAACTAACTGTAAGTTACAATATTTATCTTTGTTATATATTTCCTTTTGATGAAACAAATTAACACAAGCTGAAATTTTCTATGGACATACATAGTAAAGCGTTTTGTTTTATTTTTGTCAAATAATGTAAACCTATTAGTAATCAGTAAAAGTGTTATAAAAGATCTATCGGTGCATTTGGGGTATTTTTTTATATTTTTTGTATGTCTAGTATTTTAGTAATTAAAGAATAACAATTATATGTTATATCTTTATGCGAAATTTGTAGGTCCATCACATTAAGAAATAAATTCTACCTACATATCATGATATGTTAATGACCGAGGGAAATTCTTAATTTTTTTTTATTTTTACTTTGTATAACAATATTTAACACTATATTTACCCCGTTGTTAAGTGAAATTAAATCATTATAAAGATAATTGTTCTAAAAATCTAATTTTTTTAATGGGCATTTCAGCTTTTGTAATTTGTACTTTAAGATCTGTCCAGCTTGTTAAGATATTGAACTTTCGATCTAATCAGCAATAAACATCATTAGTTGGTAAAAACATAGTATTTCGTATTTTAAAAAAAATCTTCCCTTCTCTTCGATAATGAATAAATAATTCTAACAAGTTTACTAAGAGACTATACAAGGTAAGTGTGATTGTTTCTTTTCCTTTGGTTATATAATGGTTTAGAAGAAAGGTTAAACGTGGTTATTAATGAGTTTTCCTCATTTAGTATGATTCATTTTATTTTTAAAATAAACTTATTTAAAATAAAATTGTGGCTTATTCCCAATAAAAATAATAATCATTTTTTTATTATCTACATCCTTTTTTTATTTTTTGATGTAACGAATTTTCGGAATATCACATGTCGTGAGAGGTTTTACTCAATTCACAAAGCTTGCCATTGTGTAATAAAGACAGCCGTAAGCATTGTGTACTGATTATTATTGTGTGTTGTATTTAAAAAACCAAAGTGACTAATATCAGAAAAATTGTAAATCTGGCAACATTGCAAACATCAAATTGGAAACCTTTATATTGTAGAATATGCGTATCCCGGTTTTTGTACAATTCGGACCATCCATTTAAGAGATAATTATGCGTTTCCAGACTCTTGGTCCATTCTGTATATGTATTTATGTATTATTGACTATCATAATTGTTTTATAAATATTTTATAATGCTATTTATATGATTATGTGTTTGGATTGATTTAGTTTCTACCAATATATAAATAGAAAATGCAATAGATTAATTGCTATTAAGAAATATTTATAAACTCATAAGCAATCGGGAACATTGTTTAATTTCCTATTGTGATCTAATTGCATTTTCTGCATAAAATAAGTCTTTTCTATGTGTCTTTTCTCTAATAAAAAACTGAAAAAAAGGTGAATTAATTAAATATAAAATAATGAAAGTAAAACTGTTTTTATCATTAAATCAGTACATATCGTAAAATACATCTAATGACTTTTTGGATAGAGCAAGAGACGAAGTCAAACAACTATTGAAATTAGCCATAAACAGAGAATCTGACATCAAGTATATTAGTGTTGAAATCTTAAAAATGCTTGCAGATCATGTCCTGTAAGTATTAGTGAAACTTTTTAAGAGTATTTAATGGATTACCAGTCCAAAGGAATATATCTGGACCTATTAAAGAAAACGTAGTATGGAGATCCAGGGATAACCATGAACTCTATCAAATGTTAAAACAGGCACAAATCTCAGATTTTGTTAAACTTCAGAGACTTCGATGGGCTGGCCATGTAGTGAAAATGTAGAGGGAAATATTGCCAAAAAAACTAATAGTTTGTGTAGATAGTAAAATGCAGTACGCAAGAACAAAAGGAAGGCCACGGAAAATGTGGGAGGATGTAAAAATTTGCTAGATGTGAGAACCTGGATAAGATCGACACAGGGCAGGCAAGGTTGGAGGCATAGTTTGGAGAAGGGCAAGGCTCGATTTGGGGTGTAGCGCCATTGGAGAGAAAGAAAGAGAGGGAGAATGGATTAACAAGTTGATAAGTTATGCTTGAAGCTTTTTTTTTTAAATCACTCAAGATTATATTTACCACAAACGTGAGGAGAAAGTAAGAGATAAACACTTTAATATCAGAAATTATTGTGGCATACGAAATATTTCACACTCTATGTATGTTTTACTTTGTCAATATCAAACAACTTTTGACTGGTATGGTAAAGAAATTGTATGGGAATTATCAATAATATGGCATTGAGTATAATAAAAACTAGAACACTTGCTAATTTATATTTGATTAAAGTTGTTTCTGTTTAAAGTGTTTAAATATATTGGAAGAAATACATATGTTAAAAAAGGGTACGACACAGTAATGAATTTTCGCCATTGCTTTAAATGTATACTCCCAATTGATTTTTAAGGAAATCATGTAGGGTGACATATTCAAATCAAATAAATTCTATTATCTCTTAATTACTTACCTTCTTTAAGAACAGTGTACTCATTGTATACTGATGAAATTTCATGATTATCAGAAGCTTCTATGTCCATATCATCTTCAAAATATTCTTCCGGCTTATTTGCATTAAGCTGTAACAACAAGTTTTCAGAAGCCAATGCAGATTTATTGAGAGCCCCGATTAGAAATTGCTCGATATCATATCTGCCAATTTGGTGAGCTATTATCATTGGTGTTATATCAAATTTACTATTTACATCCACCATAGCTCCGTTACTGACTAGATGTGCCACTGCTTCATAATGGCCATTCTGAACTGCCCAATGTAGAGGAGTCATACCCAACTAAAAGCAGAAAATATTTAGCTATAAAATACTGCAATGAAACAGAACATGTAATATTGGCACCCTAGTTATGCTGATGATACTTTCGTAATATGTATTTAGCTCATTGTCAAAACATGGTTTTAAGATGATTTCAAAACTCACTCACTTTTCACTCAAAACTTTTCATGAAGACCTTTCTAAAATATTTATAACTGATTGGAAGAAATACACAACTAGAAGATAAAATCCACAAGGAAAAATTCCTGTAGCTGGCTGTATACCACGTATAACAAAAAGAGGTTAATCTTTGTAAATGGGTATATTTATTAATAATAATATAATATAATAATAATATAATATAATAATAATAAATATACCCATTTACAAAGATTAACCTTTTTTTTTTTTAACTAGAAGATGACATTTTGTTTGCAGGAAATGCTGATTTTGGTTGCAGGAAATAAGCACTTAGATTATCGGCAAGTACGGAAATTAGTCAATAATCAGAATTTTGTACAAGGATAATTTTTACCCACACCATTCACCTGTCAAAATTTACTTCAAATTATACACCTAGACTTGAGTATTGTCAATGACTAAGTAGGAAAACCAATAACGAAGAAACATTTCTAAATAAATTATATGTAGTGACAAGGAAAACTTTAACCAAACGAGGACTTTTTAATTTAAAAAATAATCAGAAACAAAATACAAATTCAGAAACAAAAAAAAAACAATAAAATACATAGGGAAATCTGAAAAAGAATTAAACTAGCAAAATACTCATGACTACAAGAGTCCTGCCTGTTAGGACAAAGGTTCCAAGATGTGGCTGACCAATTGGAAACACTTTCCACTGAAGCCAATAAAATAGGTTTGAAAATCAATATTGGTAAAACCAAATCCATGAGAATAAATGCAAGAAACAACACGCTATTCACCATTAATAACATGCAGATTGAAAATGTGGAAAACTTTACGTATCTTGGAAGTGTCATAACAGAAAGCGGAGGTACAGAAAACGATATTCGTATGAGGATACGAAAAGCGCAACAAGCTTTCAGCATGCTCAACCCTGTTTGGAGGTCTGGAGACTACACTACGAGGACAAAGATCCGCATATTCCAGTCAAATGTCATGTCTGTACTACTTTACGGATGTGAAACCTGGAAAGCGACAAAAACCCTTACAGACAAACTGCAGGTCTTTGTTAATAAATGTCTACGAAGAATTGTTTGTATTTTCTGGCCTAACATCATCAGAAACGAAGATTTACTACACCTGACCAAACAAAAGAGGGTAGTAAATGAAATAAAGTCCAGAAAGTGGGGTTGGATACTCCGAAAAAATAACTCCAGTATTGCAAAGACTGCCCTAGAGTGGAATCCCCAAGGAAAACGAAAAAAAGGTCGACCAGTACAAACTTGGAGAAGATCCATCATGGACGAGATAAGAAAACAAGGAAAGTCTTGGAATGAGGTGAAGGCCTTAGCGCAAAATAGAACCCGATGGCGCGTTTTCACTGAAGCTCTATGCTCCACTTAGGAGTTCAAGAACCTTATATATATATATATATATATATATATATATATATATATATATATATATATATATATATAAGAGTCCTGCATAAAAATTTAAAAGCTAGAGAAATGATACAACAGTTTTGATTTTCATAAAAAACTGAAAGAATTAATGGGCAAAAGCATAATTTACAGACCAAACATTTTGCAAGCCTGTAATGTTAGAATTTTAAGTGATATTAAGCAGCGCTGTAAATAACATTTAAAAACCCTTTGTAACAATGTGCATCGTCACCGTCCGCCAACGCTCAGTTTACACGCACTCCCACTACTTAAAGTGTTGATCTGAGACGGACCTGTTCATTGGCTAAGTATTGATTAGTCACTTCTCATTCCTTGCCGAATCGAGTGTTGATTGATCCGTCCAACTCTAAACCACACCATTCCTTTTCGTTAGCGAGTGTGTATTAAAGCATGTTTTCGTTTTGAATTTTACGACATACACTGGTCCACCGATTCTAGTCTCATAAAGGCAAAAGGCCATTGACCAAGCGAAACGAAGAAAGGCTCCAAGTCCTGACAAAATATCTACAGGATTATTACAACTATTAGATAATGAAAGTGTTGCGATTATTACTTCCTTTTTTGGAAGATATACACTAGAGGTGTGCTTATTAGTTCTTTTAGACGAACTAGTTCAAGAGAAATATTTCACAAAAATGAACTAGTTCGCGAAAGAACTATTTGTAGGACCGAAATCGAAATCCAACCCTAACATAACTGGTTGCCAGATGTCTCGTCTCAATCATCACACAAGCTCGGCGCCGGCCGCTCGTTTTCTTCGGTTTTCAGTCAGTCTTTCACTAGTTCACTACTGTACAAGTAGTTCGGAACTATTTCTTTCAATTGTATGTTTAGGTTTAAATGATTTAAATTATTATATGATTAGTTAGTTTTTACTTGCAAAAAATTATTAAGATTTGTTTTTTATTAACCGTTTTAAATATAAATATGGTTCACATATGATTTATTTTTATATTTACATATATATTTAAACTCATAGGTATTTATAATTAGGTTATTTATAAAAGAACCTTTACAAAAAAATCAGTGAATTTTCTAGGAACATTAAATAACACATTTTCATTCTCACTTTTACATAAAATTATATTTTATGTAAATGCCTCAATCATTTTAACCACAACTAAAATTTTTATTTCAAAATTACAATACAAGAAACAACACAGCATGGCAACATCCAAGCCAATACATGGGCATAAGATCCGAACCATTATGACATTAAGATAAGACTTTATGTTATTGTCACATTCATAAGAATTATGAATCTGTTATGTGAGGCTAACTGGCATTTTGTTTAAACTAGTTAGTCCATCCATTCACAAAATAATAAATATATGTTCTCATTCATTCATTCATTATTTTCTTCTTTAGAAGTTGAGACACAATTTATAATGCAAATTGTTCGCAGTTAACTAGTTCTATGAAAATTAATGAACTAGTTCAATTAGTTCAGTTGAAAGAATCATTCATTTGAACTATTTCGATGGTGAACTGCACATCCCTAATATACACCAGTGACAAATTTCCAGATAACTGGTTGGAATCAACATTTGTAACTATTCCCAAAAAAAGTATTGCTAAATAACAGACATTTGTAAACATTTTGTCTTTTATTTTTAAGTAAAAGGAATAAAGTTGACTTTAAACACTATATGATTTATCATGTGATTTGTAATATGATCTGGTCATGGAGTGAAATTTACATGTTTACTCTGTCTGATTTGACATATGATTTTGTCATAAGCATTGTCATGTGGTTCGTTATAGCCTTGTCACAGGAGAATAGGACGGTACATATTCTGCATGATAAAATCATATGATTTTCGGTAATAATACCGGTAACACCAACATATTTAAACATCACGCCTTATTCTTATGTCAATTCAGTGACATTCCCTTACCAAGAGACAACATCCTTTATTTGTTAATTAATTTTTTGTTTGTTGCATTGATATTGAGCGTATCGTCTAATCGGTGCTAATGTGTGGTATTTTTCTTTTATTATTTATTTAGTGTATTTTATTCTTAGTTTAGTAGTTAATAGTCTTCTTAGTCATAATTTTAGTTTAGTTTCTCTATTAATTATTTTAAATTTGGTATAATATAAACACTAAATTTTATATACCCCATCCACTATTTCTTCCTAAACACCACCTATGAGGCCGAAGGCATCTGTCCTTTTTCTTCTTACCATTAGCTGCATGCAGTTGTTGCCGGCATATTATTATTAAAAGTCAGGAAGCCAATGCAAGCTAGAGATGGTACAGAATAGCATTTTTCGGTAATAGGTTGGAACTGAACCTATTCCAAACACTATTTTTATTTACTAGGATTTATATTTCTTAACATTTTTTTTTCTACAATTCTTAATTGAGGTTTATTCAGAATTCATTTATGCAAATGGAAAATAAACACACCAAGTTATTATAGAAGATAAGATCCATTAGATTAGATTTTTGTCATACAAATAAAAACAAAATGTGTAAAGTTAAAATTATAACAGTTTAAAACGCTTTTCGACATGACAGGTATACTTGCCATAAATTAGAAATCTGTTGCATATGTACCGATCTGAAATTCTTTTGAACCCATCACATTTAACAGAATATTTCTTGTAACTAAGGCGACAATATTGGAATCGAAATGAATGCTGCCAATGCATTCTCTAATCTCTATGTTGCGCTTAACTAATGTCTAAAATCTATTCCGAGAAACCAGTTTAAGTTTCATTGTAAATTTCTTGACCAGTTGATGTGTAAAGTGTACTCAACAAAGATTTATTTTCCATTATAATAGTTTAAAAATCTAATAGTTGTTAACTATAGTGTGTCTGATATCTCTATGACCATAAACAAAAAGAAAAATAAAAAAAAACTCATTGTCACTAATACCATAAGTTATAACTTTTCATTCAGTGTAAATACGATTTTTTAAAACTTCATATATATGAGGAATCATAACAAATCTCATAAGATAAATCATGTAGTGTAAAGTTGACTTAAGGCCTTAATTCAAAACTTTTGTTTTTTAAGGTGGTATGTCACAATGTTAAAATTTATATACTTTTTAGGTACAGTTATCGTCACTATTTCAAAACCAATCTTCAACTTATGACTATGTACGTAAACTGTAAACTTTCTATTTTAATGATATCTAGTTAAAATTTCCAAAGAAAGCAGTAATTTTTTTATAACTGTACTTAAATGAATCCATGTCATAACTTACGTGGTAACGTGCCTAAAAATTGGTATTGTGTAATAATTTTTGAACTTAGGTACAAAATAACTACTTTAAATGATTAACTATCCAAAAACCTTTATTTTAAGCCAATGTTCGTTATCCATACTGCCGTAATTTTTAAATTAACTGTACCTAAAGATAAAATTACAAGTAAAAGCTGCAAACTAGGGATTTTGTTGATGTCACCGTTATAAGTTGGCATTTTGCTAGTGAGAAATTAGTTCCGCTATCACTTAATAGATGTGAAAATAAGTTCACGTGTCATTTAGTAGAAGGCAGCAGTGATGTATTAAATAGCGACAAATGCGTGTTTGCCGAATTTAAAAAAAATCTGCAAAACATTGAAACCTAGTTTTGTGGTTATGCCAATTGTCTATTTGTTGTGCAGTAGGTAACCATGGTAATACGAATCACGTGGTTGTGTTTAGCAAAGCGGCCCCTACCAGTTAATATTTTGGCTTCGTCGTTTGACTGTCAATTATCAACCATGATTGCATAACGTCACAGTGTTTTAAAAATACAAGTATACCAGTAATTACAGTTTCATTCACGTTTTGGCAAATTTAATTTTTATAGACAAAACAATATAATGTAATCATTGATTAAATTTTGTCGATTAATTATTTCCGTAAATGAAAAAGATTATTGAAATTTACTTGAGTCATAATTAGAAATCAGATGAAAATCTGAAATTTTCTAAGTAAAAAACTTCTACTGTTAACATTCGATATGAAAAAAAGTAAACGTATTTTAGATTTTCAAACAATTGCAAATTTCTTTATCAGTTTGGAATAAATATTTTTGGGTAGATAAAGAATTTAGAATTGTCGTAAATATTTCCAAATGAAGGAACGTTTTGTATATTATGTATTAGCAAAAAAAATGTCAAGTAATTAATATGTTTACTTAAAAAAATCCCTAATCAGCACATCCGCTAAGTGCTGGTGTAAGAATTAAATTTTACGACTTTTCCGTCTGAGAATGTATTGATGAGTATCATGTATCATATTAATAATATGTATTAGAATTGCATACATATATTTAGTCGAATTTTTACAACCAGAGCAAGCTGTATTATAAAACCACACTTGTGTAATTTAATACAAAAGTAAATTTTTTTGTACTTAAAATTTAATTTTGTATTATTTCGCGAAAGATAACTGCGGGATATGACAGGACTTATACACGAGAAGTTAGTTGTTTTCGCCTATATTAGTGCAAACTTTTTTCCGGCGAATAGTTTTGTTTTTGCCGTGAGGGTCGGCCAAAGTTACCGTCGGAACATGAAATCAGATAGAAAACGCAGAGCGGTACTTCGGATAGTGCATTTACGAAAATTGCTAATGTTTTAGACAGTTTGTTAGCTTTACTTCTAAGTCTTTACTTGTAAGTAAACTACTATGAGCTTTGTGAAGTGGAAAGTGCGGTACTTAAAAGTATATTCGAAGAAGCTTCCGAAGAATAGTTAATCAGTGAGATAGAGGCAACTGATAAATACAGTGCAAGGTACTTTGAGTCATCAAGTGTAAAAGGTAAGCGCTAATTTAAATTACCTCCAATCGAGTTAAAAAATTATTTAGAGTTTGTAGCCTAGGTTCTTTCACTTGAGACCTTAGACAAAACACCTGCTGACAAATTTGCGGTGATATTGTATCCTCTTATTGAGTCACGTTTGCCAGAACATACGATTCGACTATTACATCTTGTTTCCGTGTCCATGGAAAATATCGGAGAAACTGCAGAAGTTACAACTTTAGAAACAAGATTGAGTGAGCTAATAAGCTTTTTACAGAGTGAATTTCAAAATAAAGAAGAAATTGATTTAGTGACGGAAAGTTTTGGTTTACCGACTAAAAATAAATATAAATTCAATAGCCTTATTGCCAAGAAAAATGTAAAATTATCTATGCAGGGAACTGATCTACCACTGCATGACGTTCCACACGTAACAATAAATACATTTTTTAGTGTTCTACATCTATTTTCAATACTTGGAAATGTTAAAACAAAACAGCATCTTCCTTATCTTTCCCATAAAGGGTATATTCATTATCCACTGTTCGATTTCATTCCGCTTACGCTTCCAATATCCAACAGCTACTTCTCCGACATCTAAATCTGAAGAAACCTTCTTTATTTTCACTTTTGTTTCCAAAGGTGCAATTACTCTCTTCCGCTTTCCACTCATATTGCACAGAAAGATTCTCTCTTACACTCACAAAAATAAACTTATGAAAAATTAATTATGAAACCGAAACTAATAACTGGAATAAATTCACAAAACAGTACATAAAAAGAAAAATATTACCGTACAGATTCTTAATTTGACGATCTGAACGACACCAAACAAATCGGTAGTTAAATTCACATAGAAAGGAACAGGAAGTTGTAGACAAAACACCACACAGAAATTTCTGCGCATGAAATCTCTTTCACATCAGCTTGACCTAAAGCATACCTTACAAATAATTCTCTTTTTATCAATAATCCAAAATTTTCAATTGATTGCCCATATAACAGCTGCCGATATAACTTCTGACCATCGACCCCTGTTTTTATTACTCGATATTGTGATTCAACAAGTACGACTATAAAGGTAAAAACCAAGGCAAAATTTTGCCTCGGTTAACTGAGGGGCTCAGATAACCTAGACTCGGATAATCGCGAGTCTACTTAAAATTTAATTTTGTATTATTTCTGCGAAAACGCAGAACGGTAGTGCATTTACGAAAATTGCTATTGTTTCCTGGGAACTCTTACAAGTAAATAATACAATGAGTTTTGTGAAGTGGAGAGTACGGTACTTAACAGTATATTCGAAGAAGCTTCCGAAGAAGCGCAAATTTAAATTACCTCCAATCAAGTTCAATAATTATTCAGAGATTGCAGTCTAGGTTTGGCATAGAGGATCTCCAAATTGAAGTTTACATTAGAGAGTTCTCAAAGTTTATTTTAAGTCGAGTTTTTTAGTAATATATATATATATATATATATATATATATATATATATATATATATATATATATATATATATATATATATCAGAAGAGCAGAAATATTACTATTATATATATATATATATATATATATATATATATATATATATATATATATATATATATATATATATATATATATATAAGTAATATTTCTGCTCTTTATGATATGATTGATAGTCAACTTCGTTCACTTGAGACCTTAGACAAAACTGCTGACAAGTTAGCGGCGATATTGTATCCTCTTATTAAGTCATGTCTGCCAGAAAATATGATTCGACTATGGCATCTTATGTTTTCGTGTCCATGGAAAATATTGGAAAAACTGCAGAAGTTACAACTTTAAAAACACACTTTAGAGTGGGTTAATGACATTTTTACAGAGTGAAGTTTAAAATGAAAAAAAGAACTGATCAGTCCTTAGCGTCCGCTGATGGGTTAATAAATTATGAGGTTTACAGGTGTATATTTTTATTATAAGTAATTTTTTGTACTTGAAATAAGTTTAGTTTTTGCAAAACTAATATACACAATTTAAAATGTTTACAAAACTAAAAAAACAACACAAAAAAAACAAAACAACAATTTAACTTCAAAGGTAAATGAACCTCAACGCAACACGATACAAAAATTAAAAAATTTTATGGAATGATGCAATCCAAAAATTAGAATTTGTGAAACTTCAAAAATAATACGATAGCTAATTTCAACTTACATTGCAGACGACTGCCGACCGAGAGCGAACTATACCGATTCTCCCGATCGTATATTATATTTTAAGTTTCAATACTTGGCCCCATTGGCAACACTGTCGCTGTTCAGATAATTAAATTTCGAGAAAATCAAAATATTAAAATATGATGCACGTGCTGCCATCTATTTAAAAAATTGTTAAATGTTAGTTTATTTGAACACCGCTCATTTTAACTGCGGCGTGAACATACCCCCTTAATATCACTATAACATATTTTTACTGCAACCACTAACTCTAGGCTACATTTGAATCTGTAAAAGTATATAAATTATCAACTCAATAATATAATCCCCCACTAACACTTTTTGATATATAAACAGTTTCATTATTCTTATCGATTTGTATATAACATATTACATTAAAGTAAATACTTACTAAATCTCTACAATTTATATCAGCTCCATGTGTGACTAATGCTGCAATAATATCTACATGGCCCTCATAAGCTGCCATGTGTAAAGGGGTTCTATCGACTTTAGTTCTTGCATCTTTTGATATTCCTGCTCTAAGTAAAATTTCAGTTATTTCTAGATGGTTGTTTTGAGCTGATAAATGAAGTGGACTGGTACCCAACTGTAATGTTATAAAATTTTTATTTCACATTTTAATTTCTAGCATAGTGAAATCATGAATATACAACCTTCTGCTAAATTGTTAAAATCAGACATTATAGATTGGTTGAAGAAATACAATGTTAATTTTGATGAACATCAGTTAAAACCAGAATTGTTACAATTGATATTGGCAGAGATGGATATTGAGATGAGCATGTTTTAAGTATGTGGAAGGCAGCAATTCAAAAGTGTAACAATTTCACCTGGCAAAATACTAACAAATTAATTGAATATTAGTTAGAGGAGAAAATATGTAATATTAAACCTGTAATAATTAACATTGGAGATAACAGTTTAGATTCTGAAGATGGCGAAAGAAAAACATATGTTTTATTTTGCAACAATATTATTTGAGGTAAATAATGTTTCATTCTTTAAATAATTTTACTGTTACCTATATTACATCAATACACTATTTAACATTTTCCATTCTATTTATTTGATAATGTCAAATTTTCTAATATAATCCGTGATCAGAGCAGTAGCCACTTTCTGTCACTTGCTGTTGTGAGGAGTAAATTTCTGACTTGTTTTGTATGCATTAAAAGATAACGCACAGGTAAAGAACCATGGACTCAACTGTATATTATTTTTCTTTTGTAATGGATATTGTGTTTATCAGGATGCTAGATACATATTAAGTTAAATTTAAGTGCATTTTTGGACTTTTATTAATTGCAACACTACCATTTTAAATCAAATATATATAAATGTGAAAAATGTCCTTTTTTTCTTATCGTTTCTCTCATCATTATCTTGTTCTTTGTGGACCCATTTTGATTTCACTGAATATTATCTAATAGGAAATTGAAAAGAACTTTTGACACTGGGCCAAAAGGGTCTAATTTGAAATGTAATTGTTAAATTAAGTATGTTGAAGTTATATGTTAATTTTAATTATTATATTACCCAATCAGCTGTAAAAGGAGCTCCTTTGGTTAATAATTGTTTTACTCTATCTATGTTTCCCTCGCCTGCAGCTTTTAATAACTGCTTACCCAGTTCATTCACGGGCAAAGAATGTTTGGCTACTAGTTTTCCTTCAAATTTAATCTGGAAATTAGACACATTAGTAGAATAAATAAATTGAAGTAAACTTTTTACTTACAGGTATGAATTCCGCTAGTTCATTCCCTGATAATGTAATTGTGTTGCTGCCTTGGCCTGTTGTGGAAAGTATATATTTCGCTCGTTGTGTATTTTGGCCGTCTTCTACGACCCCACCAAATCTTATCATTTCCTGAAATAAATAATAAAACGTTCATTCTAATGTTTGTTTTGATGTTGAAGTAAGGTTAGGTAAAGATGTTTGGGTTTTTTGTTGGTAATAGACAACAGGAAAATCACCATCTTGAATTTTAAGAAGACAGAGTTTCCTCTTCCTGTGGGCAGCGGAAGTGAGACAATGCAGCAGCCATATCTATTGATTTTTTTTTAATATGGACTAAAATACATACTGCTACTCACCCTATTTACGGCTAATTATCAATTTTAAACAAACTATTTAAGATTTCGTACAAATAAGCATGCTTGATTATTCGTAAACAGCGTCTTACTACTTTTTTCTGGTGCCCCATCTGTCGGCTGTCTTAGTAAACGCTATCAAATCAAGGACGAAGATTACGCGGGTTATTTAAATTTATTAATTTTAAAAATAACCTTTCAATAAGCCAAACAGTTATCACGCAATTATTTTTGTATTAAAGTTTACTTATAATTTAATTATAATAGATGTGCACATGTCATATTAAGAAAATAGTCAACTTTATATAGTGCAGTAAACTTGTGTTAAAATTAATTAGTCAAGGTAGTCCATGCAAAATCTTTAGACGATGTAGTACAGTCAAACTTGGATAGAAAAAGAAAAACAGATTTAAAACAGTTTTAGTGTATTTGGCATCGGATTTAGTCCATTTGCAACTGTTTAAACAGATTTCACTACCTCCTATCTCTCAATTTTTTCCATTTATCTGATCTGTCTCTTATATTCCGATTTAATGACTCGTGAGAGATTTAACCAAAATAAATTATGTATGTCAATAAAGATATTGTCGCTAATATAAATAGTTTACACACCTAAATCAAAAAAATTATCGACCGTGAAATGTGACACCCAAGAGAACAGTCAAATGTATATAATTGACTAGTTCTTCTTCTTTCTGTTCTCTCCTACCTGAGATTAAAGATTATTAAGGCTATTCGATGTTTTGTAAATAGCTGTTCTACACAGATGGGTAGCGGGTAGGAACTTCTCTGGATAGTCCTATCAGGGAAAATGAATTAATCCCTGCCTCCGCAGGTTCCAGGTGTTTCCTGACCCGGGAAACTAGTACCTGCTTAGGTCACAGGGTCACGGATGAAGCCCACAACGGAAGCCACGGCGGAGAAGAATTCCTTCGGTACGGTACGGATGGCGGAAGTGGCAATCCCTTGATTTTAGGGATTATATAGAATCGCTATATGTGATGAAGGGCAGCAGCGATCATCAATACCAGCTCAAGGCATAGAGGAAATAATCCTGGATCGACGAGAAAATGGGCTATCACAAGCATGACTGGAGCAGTTTAAATAGTTGTGATACTGCGATGGGGAAGACAACGGGAAAATCACCCCATTATTATTCCCTAGTTCAATCATAATGGCACTATCATATGATAAGAAAAGGTATACTGATCATGGTCATCGGACACCAAGATCCGGCAGGAGAAGACAAGTACAAAGGGCTTCCCAGGCCGTTATCCAGCGAAATCCCTGTGATAAAGGAAAAGAAAATCAGGTATCAGAATAGGAACATGGAATGTGAGAAGTCTCTTCGAGCCTGGTAAGATACAAAACACCATACGTGAGATATAGCCGGTTCTGAAAATAAAAAAAAAGAAAAACGAAGTTAAAAATAGAAAAACAACGAAACACGACGAAATCCTTACAGAATTATTAAAACTAATGAACGTCAACTATATTACAATAGTATTATTACATCTGTTAAGCATAATATTCAATACTGGTACTATTCCTCAAGAATGGCTGCTATTCATGTTCATTATAATACCGACAATAATGATAATACAGCTAGTAATGATTATAATGCAAAAGAATGTTCCGATCATCGAACAATCTCGTTTATATTAATCATTTGTTTAATAATAAAAACGAGTTTACAGAAAGCTGGAACTTGATATTGCCGAGACATAGTGAGGATTCAGAAAAGGGCTAAGCACGAGAGAAATTATGTTTGCACTGATGTTCGTCAATCAAGAGATACACGCCCATTTCATAGACTTCGAAAAGGCTTTTAAAGGGGTACGCCACCATTTACTCAAAGATATTTTTGTGAGCAAAGGTATAGATGATTAAAATCTGAGAATAATCTTGAATTTATATTCGAATCAGCAAGGAAATATAAGAATAGAAAGTGAAGTTTTAGACTTAATAATAGCAACACGGGGAGTGAGACAGGGAAATATATTGTCGCCACTACTGTTTAACGTCTATAGTGAACACACGTGCCAGGAAGTTTTAATAATGCAAATGAAGGAATAATCGGCAATGGGACAGTGATAAATAACATTAGATATGCAGACGATAGTATATTGTTGGCAAGAACATCGGAAGAGCTTCAACTTTTACTAGAGAATATGTATAGAATATGCAATAACTACAATAAACTATAAGGCACAAGCAGAAACGCGAAATTTCTACAAAAGGATTAACCAGGACAGGAAAGAATTCAAACCAAGATTATCAATCGTTAGAAATAGAACAGGGGAGATCATTGGTGATCAGGACCAGATACTAGAAAGGTGGGCAGAAAACTTTGAACAAAGGTTAAATATAAGAGGTGAGACAGGGCTTCACGAATCAGAAATCAAACTCGAGGACATTGACGACGAAAGAGAGAAAGATAACATCCCAATAGAGCTAGAAGTCATCCAAGCTATACAAAAATTGAAAGAAAACAAAGCTCCTGGGGCAGATGGCATATTCCTTCAGAACTTTTAAAGCATGGAAAAAAACCTGACATACTGTATATGTAGACTGGTAGAATTGATCTGGAAGCAAATAAAGTTACCAGAAGACTGGAATGTAGGTATAATTGTACCTATCCACAAGAAAGGAGATCAAACAATATGTGACAACTACAGAGGAATAACCCTCCTAAACATACAAAATATTGGCATATATTCTATACGACCGACTATCGGGATATTGTGAAGACATAATAGGTAAACATCAGTGTGGATTTCATAAAGAAAGATCAACGACCGATCAAATATTCCTTCTAAGGCAAGCTCTAGAAAAAACATGTGAGTATGGCATTGATACTCATCACTTGTTTGTTGATTTTAGATATGCCTATGATAGTGTTGAAAAAAATGCACTGTACAAAGCCATGATAGAATTCAGCATACCAGTACACTTAGTAAAATTGGTGAAAACGACCCTCTCAAGAGTCGAGTGTAAAGTTAAAGTGTAGAACGGAGCTTCCAGAAAGTTTCAGTCTCAGATAGACAGCCTATCATGCCTTCTATTTAATAATGTACTAGAGAAAGCGATAAAATAATCTGGAATAACAACCAGAGAAACTATTATTAATCGCAGCGTACAATTACTAGCGTACGCCGATGATATCGACATTATTGCAAGAAGAAAGGCGGACGTGGTCGAATCATTCAATACGCTTGAAGCAACAACCAAAAAATTGAATAGCGCATTGAATGATTCGACCACGTCCGCCTTTCTTCTTGCAATAATGTCGATGTCATCGGCGTACGCTAGTAATTGTACGCTGCGATTAATAATAGTTCCTCTGGTTGTTATTCCACTCTGTTGTTGTCTCACTCCCCGTGTTGCTATTATTAAGTCTAAAACTTCACTTTCTATTCTTATATTTCCTTAGTGATTCGAATATAAATTCAGGATTATTCTCAGATTTTAATCATGTATGCCTTTGCTCACAAGAATATCTTTGAGTAAATGGTGGCGTACCCTGTTAAAAGCCTTTTCGAAGTCTATGAAATGGGCGTGTATCTTTTGATTGACGAACATTAAGTGCAAACATAATTTCTCTCGTGCTTAGCCCTGTTCTGAATCCTCACTATGTCTCGGCAATACCAAGTTACAGCTTTCTGTAGCGGAACATTCTTTTGCATTATAATCATAATTATTAGCTGTATTATCATTATTGCCGGTATTATAATGAACGTGAATAGCAGCCATTCTTGAGGAATAGTACCAGTATTGAATATGATGCTTAACAGATGTAATAATACTATTGTACTATAGTTGACGTTCATTAGTTTTAATAATTCTGTAGGGATTTCGTCGTGTTTCGTTGTTTTTCATTTTTAGCATTTTTTACTTCGTTTTCCTTTTCTTTTTTTATTTTCAGAACCGGCTTGGCTCTTTATTTGTAAAAGTTTTTTCCTATTTTCAGAAAATAATTCATTTATATACTTATTTATTCCATCTCTGTAGTTTATTTTTTAGATCCGTGATTTTTGTACATATTAAAGCTATCATATTTCTTTTTATAGTTTTCTATTGCTTCACATTGGTTTTAATCCATAATTCTGTATCATCTTTTACTCTTCTTTTGATGTTGTATCATCATTTTGGTTTTACAACCTTGTGTGGGTCCTAGCCTCCCCAAGAATTTTTTTCCAGTCGTCCCTATCCATCGCCTTCCTCCGCCAAGCACGTATTTCCATATGTCTCATATCTTGGTCTATGTTATCTAGGAATCTTGTTCTGGGTCTTTCTCTTCTTCTTTGACCAATAGGTCTATTAAGGAGTGTTTTTCTAGCTGGGTCGGTTTGCTCCATCTGCATTACATGGCCTACCCACCTCAGACGTCCTATCTTAATGTGTTTTACGATATCTGGTTCCTGGTATATTCTATAGAGTTCGAAGTTGTATCGTCTTCTTCAGACACCATTTTCATTTACCGCTCCATAGATTCGCCTTAGTATTTTTCTTTCGAAACATCCTAACATGTTTTCATTGTGCTCCATACGCCTCTCGTGCTGCGTTTTCCGTTCTCACAACAATATTGATATAATCGGGATATGCTAGGATTTGCACAGATTTGTTATATATTGAACCGGTAGTTGTGATTTGTGACGTACGTATTACTTTTTCCAGAGCTAGATTGAATAGTATACAGGAGAGTGGGTCTCCCTGACGTAGCCCGTTATTTGTTTTAAGAGATTCAGAGAGTTCCCCCTGGATTCGTACACTGCAATAAACTTTTTCAAGGGTTAGTTTGGTTAGACTTACCAACTGATTTGGTACTCCTAGGTCTATCATTGCTCTAAATAATTCTCTTCTATTTACAGAGTCGTAGACTGCCTTGTAGTCTATAAATATGTGGTGCATGTCTACACTGTATTCCAGTGTTTTCTCTAGAATTTGTCTCAGGGATGGGATCTGATGAATTGTTGATTTACCACCTCTGAAACCCGCCTGGTATTGTCCTATTATTCGCTCTGCATATGGTGCCATACGAGGGTATAGTATATTGGAGAATATTTTATACGCTGCATTTAGGAGTGTAATCCTTCGATAGCTAGAGCATTCAAATATATCTCCCTTTTTGTGTATGGTGCAAAGTATTCCAATATTGCAATCACTGGAAAGGAACTTCTGTATCCATATTTCTTTTATAAGCTGCTGTAGCGCTATTATGATATTGTGGCCACCTTCTTTATATAATTCCACTGGGAGATTATCTATTCCGGCTAATTTGTTTCTGGCTAGTTTGTTTATAGCGTCTTTAACTTCCAGGATCGTTGGTGGATCCTCCTCTCTCTCGTCTGCTCCGCTTACCTCACAGCTTTCGTCTTCCGGGTTTTCTTCCTCTTCCTCTATATTAAGTATCTGGTTAAAATATTCTGTCCATCGATTTAGTACGTCTGTTCTTGTTGTTAATAGATCGCCATTCAAACTTCTACATTGATTTGTGTTTGCCTTGAATTCTTTTCTGTTGATGTTAACTTTCTTATAGAATGTTCTGAATTCTGTCTCTCTGTTGAGGTTTTCTATATATTAAAGTTCCTTTTTTAAGTGGTTTCGTTTCTTTATTCTGTCTAATTTCTTTTCTTCTCTTCTCTTTGTCTGGCAATTCTCTACGCTTATTCTAGTTCGGCGGGTAAGTATTTTTACATAGGCTTCATTTTTTTCCGTATTGCGTCTTTGCATTCATCGTCAAACTAGGGATTTTTTCCGGTACAAGTTTCTGTTCCTATTTCATCTTGTGCTGTTGACTCAATATCTTTCTTTATCCTGTTCCAGTAGGAGTCTACGTCTCTCTAGTTATCTTCGCTTAGACTTTGATTTCTTAACATATTGGTAATATTTTCCCAGTACTGTTTTGCAACAGTTGCATCTCTCAGCTTCTGTACATTCCATTTCTTTCTATCTATTTTTTTCTTTGTTGGAATTTGAAATTTTAGCCCTTAATGTTGAGATCACTAAACAGTGGTCTGAGTCTATGGTTGCGCCTCTATATCATCTGTAGTTCATTATGTCAGTTCCGTGTCTTGAAACTATTAAGATGTGATCAATCTGACTAGTTGTTCTTTATCTTTCCCTCCATCAGGGGAGGTCCAGGTTACCTTGTGTATATTCTTGTGTTCAAAACATGTGCTAACGATGGCCATGTTCAGTGCTGCTGCTAAGTTTAATGTCTTCTAGTTTGTCGCGGGTGCATTATGTGCATTAATTAAACTGTAATTTTTAATGTAGGCCATTTGAAATTTACTTTAAGTACGTATTTCCGAAGTATGTCAAAATAATGGCCTTCATTTTGCGAGGATATATACATAATTTTTTTTCATCCAGCCATAAACAAATTTACTTAAATAATGTTAATCTAGAAGTACTAAAAATTTTCTTTTCCTACTAGTTATGCAACATATTAGCCACTTAGTACCTGTTGATTTATTTACTCTTCCCCTACCTATGGTACCATTGTAATTCAAGACTGTTAGACTGGTTTACAGGTACAAAGCAGAAATCAGTGCTTAGCCAAGGTTGTGCCACATTTTGTTGATGTAAAGTAAATATTTAATATACTATTTCGCAGAATTGTGTCGGTGTGATGTGTTTAACAGAAAACAGGTAAGACTAAAATTTTATTTTGCATTTAAAATTGTTTAATTACTGATTTTTTCGATATATTTCCATATTTGGGAATTATCAACTTATTGTTAAGATTAAACCCAACATTTCAATGTGACTTGGTTTTCCGAAGAGTTTCCACAAAAACAACTTTTGCAAATATCATGTGTTAAATTTCTGCAAATTTCGCAACTTTGTTCATAAGTATACCTACTCAACAGCTATCAATTCATGTGTTTCTTAAGAATATATTAAGGATTCTTTAAGTACTGAAAATTGCTGCAATTATAACAAATGTTGGTAATTTTTGATAATATGGGTAAAATGTTTAAGTAACATTAAATCTTCTCATGAATTTACAGTTATTTGTTTGGAATTATGTTTTTCATTGGGTTTCCTTATTTGGGAATTACCAATTTATACATAAGATTGACGCTGGTACTGTCGTGTGATTTGGTCTTTCCAAACAATTTTTAAGGACGTAACAAGAACTCTGGGTATCTTGATTTTAATGTTAATTAATGTTTTGTAAATTTTGCAATTTTGAAACGTATTTACTTAGAAACTAAGATTTGCTATTAAAAATATAAAGGATTCTGTATGTTCTGAAGAATACCTACCTCTAAAATTTTACCAACTTTTTAATTTTTTTTTTGTATCTATTTATTACTAAATTTTAAAACATTATCTAAAAGTGGATTGTTACTAATAATTACTCCTAATGGTTTTTACTATATCGCATTTTTGTCTGAGTACGATAACGTCATAATGTATTTAAAAGGAGAATTATCTCTAACATAATAAATCCTAATAATTTTTACAATTATCTAAATACTAAAACTCTAATTTAAAAACAGGTAGATGTCTGTATTTTATAATATACCTTCTCGTTTGAGCTTAAATCACAACTAACAAAAAGTTTACATACTGCTTAAAATCCGCGATTCTTTTTCTTCAGATAGGTAGGTATCATCTTCGTTACGAAGATTATAGTTATACCTAACCCAACGTTTGTATTTCCATGGTTATTTTCACTTCTGAAACAGCTACTTTAAAGACTTGACAAGTTGACTTGAACTACATCCAAACAAATGTTACAAATTGCTGAAATATACGTTTTGTTCCACTACTTCTTTGTCTCTTAGTTTTCTTAGCATGGAATCGTAGGATACTATATCTTTCACCATGCAATATGTACCTAAAGTATTTATATTGCAGTTAGCTTCCTTTGTTAGCTTAGTTAGTGGCTCGACAATCCGTTGCGGATCTTGGCCTGCTCACAAAGAAGTCGCCACGCCTGTCGATTCCTGGCAACTGCCCTCCATCTTCTAATCCTTAGAATCTGTAGGTCTCCTTCCACATCATCAATCCATCTCATTCGTGGTTTTGAAAATGTTAATAGATAGTTATCAAGTAAAATTTTATCCTTCCGTTATTTTGACACTTCTTCTTCTTCATGTGCCGTGCTCGATTATCAAGCGTTGGCTATCAAATTGGCTATACTAATTTTGTTGACGGCAGCTCGGAAAAGAGATGCAGAGCATCTCTCGACAGAGCAGATCTAGAGCAGATGCTCGACCTGGCTCTATTCTTCCGTCTACCTTGCCTTGTATTATTAAATGGAGTATATTATATCTCTTTGGGTGGCGCATAACATGGCCAAAATATTCAAGTTTGCGATTTTTAACTGTTTTGACGACTTCCGTAAGTTTTCCCATCCGATGCAAAACAACTTATTTACGAACTCTATCCACCCAACTTATTCGTAGGATTCTCCGATACACCCAGATTTCGAAGGCTTCTAGTTTCTTGAGAAGTATATCCGTCAAAGTCCAACCTTGGACACCATAAAAAAGAGTAGAGAACACATAACATCTCACTAATCTAATTTTCAGACTTAAAGTAATATTGTTTCCACATAACAGTTTCTTCATGTTAAAGAATGCAGCTCTGGCCTTCTGTATCTGTATTCTAATTGCTCTGCTCATGTCCCAATTCTCATTTAGATTACAACCAAGGTAAGTGATACTGTTAGTTCTCTCCAGTTGTTCACCATAAGCTGTCACCACTTCCGGTTGTATTGGCGTTTTACTGACGACCATCACCTTTGTCTTTGCGGTGTTTAGCTTAAGGCCATATTCATCACACGTTATAGTAGTCCTATTAATTAGATGTTGAAGTTCTTCGTAATTGCTTGCAATTAACACTGTGTCATCCTCATATCTCAAATTATTAACATTGACGCCATTCATTTTTATACCACATTGAACATTATCCACTGCTTTATTGAAAACGAACTCAGAATAGATGTTAAATAGTAGCGGGGACAAAATGCAGTCCTGCCTTACTCCTCTTCGTATTTGAAGCTCTTCACACGTGCCCCGGCCAATCCTGATGTTTGCACGTTGATGCCAGTAAAGATTTTTGATAATGCGTAGGTCTTTATCATCAATACGTACCTGCTAAAGAATGGTTATCATTTCAGTATGTTTTACTCGATCAAAGGCCTTCTCAAAGTCAATAAAACACATATAAACTGGATGTCTGACATCTTTTCATCTTTGTACCATAACCTGAATACTAAATAGTGCTTCTCTTGTTCCAAGGTTATTGCGGAATCCAAACTGTGTGTCACCAAGTTGTTGTTCTATTTTTTGGCACATCCTAGAGTGCAAAATTGGTAGAAATATCTTTAAAATATGACTCATAAAGCTGATGGTTCGGTAGTCACTACATCTTTTTGCATTTGCTTTTTTAAGTATCGTCACAAAACGCGACAGCCGCCAATCAGTTGGTATATAGCTAGTTTCATAAATTTTATTAAACAGATGAAGGAGAGATATTTTACCTGAACTTTCGAAGAGCTTTATTAATTCACTCGGTATTTCATCTGAACCTGTCGCTTTTCGGGTCTTTGCTAATCGTATTGCTTTTTCAATTTCGTCCATAGTTATGTCAGGTCCTGTAACTACTTCGTTAATTTCAAGCTCGGGCCTTTCATCACTAAACAGTTCCTCGATATTGTGACGTCTTTTTTTATTGCTCTAATTTATTTGTCTTTATTCTAATTTATTGTCTATATTCTAATTTATTAAAACTCACGATAACTAATTACGAATTTATTAAAGTCTTTATTAATTCTAATTTATATTACAAATAATAATTTATGTTTCGTTACATTTAAATATCGCGGTTGCCGAGCTTCTTATGACTAACTGCCAAATAAAAATCTTTCATTTATATACACAACTGTGTCATCTAGAGAATTCGGCGGACTTTCTGAATAGTCTCGTATTTTGGTGAAGGCGCTCGACTCGTTTTTCAACCTCGAGACGTGGATGACTCACTAAAATTAGTGTCTAGAGATTTCTGGTAAACAACTGGTAGCTAAGCTCAGGTATATTTTGACCTACAAATTACGAGAATCAATAAAAAAGAATTAGTCATAAAATATTTACAGTTCTATATGCCATAACATTTAAAATCGTAACATTGCCCCCCTCTTAAAAGATGGTTCCTCCTGGAACCTTGTCGGGACTGGAACTGGAACGACATGCTGATATCGGCAACTGGACCCTCTTTTACAACTTCCAGTTGTATAGAAATGACAAGGGACGGTTTTCTCTCCGCAGCAGTAACTATGCGGATTGCAACAGACTAACACCTGGACTTCGGTGTCTTTAAAGATTTCCTCCACCATGTTTCGTATAACCCTCCAATCTAATTGGCGGCACTCCAACTTTGGCATGGCTAACTTTTGCACGTCGGACTCTAGTACGTGCTCTCTCAACTGAAGTAAGGCTTCCCATACATCTCGGTAGGTAGGTTGGTCACGGGCAGTGTCTTTTGTTACCAGGTAGAAAAGGTAACGTGATGCATCTTGAAGTTTCAAGGTTTTACCAGGAGCTGGCACTTGGCATTGAAGTTCTGCAACTCGACCAAACTTCCTTCGAAAGACGGATGCCAACCCTGGTGCATCTTTGATACTGGCCGGGATGGTAAGGGCCAATGAGTAGTCATCGGGAAGCGCGAGTAGATCTTGCCTTTCTTCAGTGGTAACACCATGTCTTGCTTTACCGGTACCTCCATAGGCACCCATGAATTCCTCAAACGTGAGGTCAGACACATCTTGGACTTGGTTTACTTCCACTTCTTCATCTACGTCGTGGTCACCCTCGAAAGACGCCAGCCGGTTATGGTGTACTATCATCGGCTTTCCTCTCGGAATCTTGCTTATTCGGTAAATAACATCATTGATCTTCTCCCTAATGAGGTATGGACCTTCCCAAAACTGCTGCAATTTGGGAGAACAACCTTTTCGCTTTTTGGGGTTATAAAGCCAGACTTTATCGTTCTTCTTAAAACACCCCTTTTCGGCTTGCGTATCGTACCGTTTCTTCATTCGGTCACTAGCGATCTGGAGATGAGAACGGACCAACTCGTGTACATCGTCCATTCTTCTTCGTAATTCGATCACATAATCTTCACCTGCTACATCTTCGCCAGGTCGACACCCATACTCTAGATCACAAGGTAGTCGCATCTCGCGTCCGAATAGGACTTTGGCTGGTGTCTGGCCTGTTGATTCATTAACAGCAGATCTGTAGGCCATTGTGAAGAACGGGAGATATTGGTCCCAGTCTCGCTGATGATCGGACACCATCTTTGTCAAATACTTGCCAACTGTTCTATTCATTCGTTCTACCATACCATCCGATTGCGGATGATAAGCCGCAGTCCTTGTTTTCTTCATACCTAGTCTATCACATATTCCTTGGAATAAATCGCTTTCGAAGTTCCTGCCTTGGTCACTATGGATCTCCAAAGGCACTCCAAATCGGCTGATATATTCTTGGATCAACTTATCTGCAACGGTGGCCGCCTTCTGGTCTGGAAGTGCGTAAATCTCGACCCACTTAGTGAAGTAATCCATTACTACCAACATGTACTTGCCTCCATTATCACTTTCTGGAAACGGCCCAGCAATGTCCAAAGCTATT